GCGTAACGTATGGTCAATGTAATTTTATTTATAGAATTGCGGTAGAAAGAGCAAACATATGGAGCCAGTTTGTTAGAGAAGGCGAAGTTGCGACGTGCAGAAGATGCAACTGCGAAATAAAACATCGCAATGATACAACAAAGTTAAAGCAACACTTATCGCTTTTTCTACTTGATTAATCAAAGCTGTCGTATATATACAGATCTGCAAGCTGTGACCTGCCGCCAGCTCAGTGAGAGACAGCAATTTGAATTTAAATAGCGAAAGAAGTAAAAGAAAACTCGGAGATATGGAACATGTTCACAATAAAAGATAACAAAGCGACGTGCAAAACGTGCAATACAACAATTAAACATTTCAAAGATATTGGAAATCTAAAAAGTCATTGCTCGCGAGAATCGCTTGAACAGAAAAAAATATGCCAAAGCAAAAAGATCAACCTGATAATGAAAGTTCCTCAGAAAGCAATTATATTGAGGAACTGAGTGACATCGCAACCGAAGAAGAGGCATATAGTGATATCGTAGAATCGGAAAGTGAAGAGGAAGGGGCAGCACATTCGTCGACGCAAAAAAACTAAATTGGCGAGACGTTTTTTGTATGGCACCAACTATTTCAAATGGTCCGTTATACCGCCGACGGAAAAAGAGAAGAGAAGAATACAAACAGAAGCAGACGAAGAATCGAATTATGAACCTGAAGTGTTGGGCGATACGAAGGATAAGGATACTCCAATAGAAGTATGGTCTCTTCTTTTTACTAATGAAATGCTAGATACAATAATAAGTTATACTAACACTGAGATTGCAAGAAGACAAAAAAGTTGTAAAACATTATCACCCGAAACTCATCTCGAGGAAATAAAAGCATTTATAGGAATTTTATACTTGTGGGGAGAAAACTGGGCTCCGTCTTTCGCAAAGAGACGTTAAGCCGTTGGTCCAAAGGGTTAAAGTGAGAGGAGAAGGATAGTATTGGTAGTAGATTGCGAGCCCTGCGGGGATATGCAATAAATTACGAATGTACAAAAAAATGTCACAATCACAATTCACACAAGTAAGATAATGTATATATATATATATATATATATATATTTATATTATCTATATATTTATATATATAAAATTGACACAATGCAAATACCACATGCAATATATAATCACTAAATAACTTTCTTACATTTCTTCAATGCAACTTGCAATTAGCTCTAATTCCGCTGTCTGCAGATCAATAAACCGTCATCTTTTTCTTTAGAGTCTAATTGCTTCTGGTTCGTTAATTCAGAACAATTCTCGATCGTTGTAACGATCTCGCGTTATAAATTTAACTCGATTAAAGACTGAAACATTATCAGTGCAGAGACAGAGGTACCTTCTCCTTTATCTAATTCATTCTAGCCGTCGTAAACAAATTTTCGATATTATCGTTTGACAACGATAAACGATTCATAGAGTGATAGCTCTTTGGCACACTGGCGATTAATGAATAATGTCAGCGTTTCCGGCGGAACGAACTTAGATGTGGATGCGATCTAATTATTTTTTATATAAGATATATATAAAATAAGATATATATCTGGTATACAGATTGGTTTATATATAATATAAACCGGTAAAAGTATTAAAAATGATGGCAGGTAGGTATAGATATGACAGCAGCATTGTGTGCATGTATTATTTGGTGGTGAATATAGAAATGTGTCGGAGTAACTTATTCGTAGCGTATTATACGTGACTCTCGAGGGGCACCTTGAAAACCTTGGACGCGAGACTCGCGTCCGGCAATGACTGCGGCCGAGCAGCGTTGGTTACGTTAAAGACGACGTTGCTAGGCCCGCGAAAGCTTACCTCGATCAGAAAGCTTGTGTCGGCCATGCCAACTCGATTGGTGCTGAGATCGGGCGAGCTGGTTCTGAGCTGGCTCTTTTTCGGTCTATAGTCGCTCCTGATGACCCTTTCGGCCTCCGACTGCAGTTTGTTATCGAGCCAGTGCACCTTGTCGAAGTCCTTGGTGCTGCCGACTGTGTGCCTTCGTTTGATTGACCGTTCCGACATTCCGTTCTTCCGCTTTAACTTCGTGGCGCTTTCCTTTCGCACCGATTGCCGCCGTTTGCTGATATTGCACTCGGTCTTCTCGGTCTTCGTCAATGATTCCGAGCGTTTCAGCTTGCTGCCCGGCGACTCCGATCGGTCGCCGGAATGTTTGTTCAAGCTCTCGGATCGTTTGAGCGGCGACAGCCTCTCAGTCGAATGCTTATTTAAGCTCTCCGATCTCTTCAGTCGCGAGGTGGTGTTCTCGCATGTCCTCTTGTTCAGAGACTCCGACCGTTTCAGGCGGGACCTCGCCTGAGAATTCGTCAGGCTCTCAAATTTTTTCAGCTTGTTGGAGTAACTGGAGTCTCCGGTCTCGTAATAATGGTGGCTCCTACTGTTGTCCTCCACCTTTGCACTTACATCATTATTCTCCGATTTACTTTCCTGAAGCTCCTTCTCACTTGATAATTCGTATCGTTTCGGGTTTCCCGCGCGCAGACAATCATCCCCTTCATCCACATCTTTCTGTCCCTCGTTCTCCGTCGCATTATTTGTCATAGGCTTCGTTTCCAGCCTCTGCTTGTCGTTCGCGCCACGGTCGTTGTTCGGCGTGATGGACTCCGAAGGGATATTGTCGGCTACCGTTGAATCGGTGTCCTTCTCGGGAGCGTCCTGCGGTAAACGAAACGGAAAACTATAATAATAATGTCCGTTGGAATAATTCAAGGGTCACATTAACTATTTTTATCTATTACGTTTTGATTTGCATGATTTAAAATATGCGATACTATCTGACGTTAAACGAAATATGCGGTGCCATCTGACTTATGTTACACCTTAGAAATAACGATCGCGTATTTACGTGTATATCGTCGCATTCTTTTGGAGTTGCGTTTTCGCTTTCGCTAGAATGTAGATGAAAGTTCGTATAGACTTGAGATAATCGTTTCATTTCATTGCTCTGACGACGTTGATGGCTTCAGGAACTTGACAACGCGCGATATCGACTTACATCCTTCGGGCGAGCGAGGTGACTCTTGTCGAGCGATTTGTGAAGACTCGGGTCGCGATAGGCTTCCGTAGACGGATACTTGGTTCTCGGGGACGCACTCGGCTTCTGCTTCTGCTCCTGCTGCTCCGTGATGTCGTTCTTGTTGCAGGATGCTGATTCTGGAGGAGGCTGCGCTTGATTCGACGACTGATTGATGAGAGACCTCCACTTGCGATCGAACGTGGTTGTAAGGGTCGTTAGAAGGTCGCTACCTGTAACAGGAGATCCGTGTTAATCGCGCGGGATACACGAAGATCGACGCAAAAAAAAAACACTCAAAGCACCGGTTACTTGGTCGGTTATTGTAACGAACATAATTGTGACACGATCGCTAAACGAGGTGAATATATGCCAGTAAGTGTATATGCGCTTTGTTCGTCGCGCAACTGGTGAATTCTTGCGTGAGTGCATTCCTGCAAAACAAAATCGCTGCGAAAGAAAAACTGCAATAGAAATAATATGAATAATAAACAATGGCAGCATCGAAACATCGTCGACATCGAGTAAACGCAATTGTCACAAAAAAAACTGATTAATAAGTTATCATCTTCAATCTCTCATCACCATCCACGTTATCAGTTGGTTATCGTTATTAATAAAATTATCGTTGTTTCGACAGCTGTATACATTGCAACAGTAACATAATTAGCATCATCAACTTTCCTTTTTCTCGTGCTGAAGCATGAAAAAGATGAAGAAAACGCTACGTCCTTGGGCGCGCGATTGAGAAAACGGGATGAGAAAGATACGTAGTTAGACGTATGTTTGTAAATGTTTGCAGATAATTCAACTTTCATAAAGAACATCGTCTGGCAGCGGAGATTAAAAAGAAGAAAAAAGGAGACATAAGAAAAAAAGAATAGGCGAAGGATATGCGAAGTATATAAAAATATCTGAAAAACAATACATGAACAATATTGCTGAAAATCATACACTTAAAAATATACCTAACAAAAAAGTGCTAAAAAAAAGAAAAAAAAATACTGAAACAATACCAGTAAAAAAAAAACAGAAGCGGTATCCGTTAAAATCGCCAAGTGATTCATTGTCGCTTCTCAAAGCGAAAAACGACATATCTTTGCGCAAATATCTTTCATTTTAGATAACGTGTTACGTAACAAGTTTCGCAATTAGTGGCGCCGCACATGTTATAGAGTCCATTCATGATCATACGCTGAAACATCCGAGCAGCACAAACGGCGAAAATAAAATAGCACGGGAAAATATTGCGGGTTTCGTCGAGCGCACTCCTGCTCCGCCAGCGGGGACAAGACAGTTCCTGTCTAGCGGGGTGAAATAAAATAGAAAAAAAAAATAACAATGCATTCTGCAGCGTTATTGCGCACGTGAAAGCCAGTATGAGTCATTATGAGACTCGCTCACATTTCCCTCGACGACAAGTCGCGTGTGAATATTAACGGAGTTTACAGTACCTAAGTTTACCACGTTGATGACAGTCGGCGAGAGATGAGAGACGCGGACGAGATGCGGAGATGCGTAAACGCGAGAGAAATGGATGAGATGCGGACGTGTGACACGGACGATACAATAGACGGTTAGTCGTAGGAAAGTATTATACAAACAACGGTATATATGTTTATGTATGTGTGTAAACGCGTGCTTAGTAGGGTGTGTAAACTGAAAGATAGTGTGTGTCAAAGCCATTCGGGTGAGCCAGCTGTCAGCTCGTCGGACATCTCGGATGCTGGATGCGGCTGGGTTTTCCAGACCACTCTTGGTCTGGCAGCGGACCTGGAATTTACCTCGGAGGAATCGGTTTAGAGCCTTGGCGGTGGCGGGCTCGTTGTTCGCCGATGATGCGGTAGTTGCTGCAGACGCGACAGCAGTTGCCAGCGATGATGCTGCTGCTGCTGCGGCTGCTGTTGTTGCTCCTGCTGCTGCTGCTGCTGCTGGCACCGACACGGGCACGGGCATTGGCATTGGGACCGCTGTGACCGGCACTGGCATTGACATTGGCGACTGGGTCGGTGTCTTCGCGGCGGTGCCACCGGGACTTGCGGTACCGTATAGGTGGGACGATATGTACCACCAAAAGCCCGCGCTTGCTGTGTGCCTACACGTGGTATTCAACCATTCGTTTCGTCATTCGCATCGTCATACAATTCGTGGCGGCCGGCGCGGCAGAGCACAAATTCTCTTCCTCTCGTCTTCCTCCTTTGCGTCTGGACCCACCGTCTATGTTTCTATGGCTTTTTCTATCCGAGCTGTTTATATTCTTATCCGAGGTGTATTCCTCTCGAGCCGAGATTTGGCATCGCGATCGATTGTCGCGCGGGAGATCCAATGCTCCAGAAAAAAAAAAGGAAATAAACGTTTTGCACGACGGAGAGGCCGGGAACTTGGGACACTGAACTTGGCGAAAAGAAAAAATAAATAAAAAGAGAGAGAGGCGCAGAGATCAAGAAGAGCGAAGAGAATCGAATTTTAAGCGTCCTTTCTCAGCCGCGATTGAGTATCGACGGATTTATTTCCTTGTCCCTTTTGCAGCCCATGGATCTTCGAAGGAATACGCCGTTTCGGGCCAACATATAATCGTATTCTTTTCGGGCGTGTCTGATCGCAAAGACGTAGACTGAGGCGGGCAGACAATCAGTTTATAACTAAGAGCACAATCAATCGGCACAGGCAAGTCGTTAACGATAGAATAGAACAGGCAGACGAGCAGTAAGATAAGTGTGATATTCGGAAATGCGCACGTGTGTGTGACGAAGAAGGTGCGAGACTAGGATTACTTTCGCTAACAATCAGAGCAGCCGCCCCATCGAAATACCGTTTGCGTGGTCACGCGTGAGAAAATGCCTTCAAATTCATCGTTAAGAAATTACTCGTGACGAGACGTAAAGTGTGACTCTTCTAAGAAGATTTCATCATCATTGTGAGAGCAAGCAATGATCGAAGAATCATTCGAAGCGCTTACGATCCTCGAAGGACATGCATGCGACGAGAATAAACTATTTGTCCGACAATTTGCATAGTCAGCGTCAAAGAGGCTTGGATACTTTCTTTTTTAATTATTTTCGCAACGTATCCGGTACCCAACAGGAGATTTTTGTTTCTCTTATTGGATATCAGGTACGAAAGTTATTAAAAAAAAAATGTCTCGAACCTTTCAACGCTGATTACACATATATATGATGGCTACGGTCAACGTGTAGCCCAGTCAATAGAGACATTTAAATGGAATTAATTTTCTACAAGTTTGGTTATTACCACTTTCACTCTAAAGTTGAAAATAAGCGAGATTTTTATCAAAATCACCCTTCTAATCAAAATGGCGGCTAACGCTCCAGGATTAGAATCCCGAAAATCCGGTTTTAGACTACCCATGACCCTCCAAAACAATAAAAAAAAAAATCGTTTCCCGGAATTAATTTCATTTCAACGGCTTTTTCGGGCTCTATTGACTGGGCTAGTGACGCTACAAATGCTTCGAAGCATTCCTCTTCTCTTTTCTTTCAATGAAGAAAGAAGGAGAAGAAGAACGCTCCAAAACATTTGTAGCGTCACGTTGACCGTAGCCTATGTATGGAGAAACCATCGAAGATCGCAGAAGCAGCCAATCGTGTGACGTAAATCTGTTTTATGTCACACGTGCATGGAAAGTGGCCCATTACGCACGCGACGCGTGCGTGATAGACCACTTTCCACGCACTTGCAACATAAAATAGGGTGTGTAACACGTGTGTTAAGTTGAAAATTGGACGTGCGGGTGATCGCACTCGCCTCCGGTTCGTGCGTTCACTCCGCACGTCCAATTTCCATCTTACAGCACTTGTTACACAAATAACTATTTCTCAACGCCGAAAGCCAAAGAGTGGCATGCAGCACATGACAACATCGTACAAATAGAGGATCGGCCAAAAGGCGCGATGTGTAAGAGAGTAAGAGCCACTTCGACCAAATCCGATTAACTTAATCGGTCGATTAAACTAATCGGAAATGATCGAAATGACCCTAACTCTAGAACAATATATGTATAGGTATATATCGTATTTCGTCTTCTTTCTTTAATTCATCATCCTCTTTGTGGCTGACCCTCCTTGCGCTTGGTCGCGAAAATACGAGATGATATATTTTTGTAAAATTAAATGTTTTCATTACAAGAAGCCTCGTGTGTCGTGGTAAAGACGTGTTCGTACTAAAGAATATGCGAAACAAGTTGCTACGTTCTGAACTGTGTTCGCGCGATGATGAATGGCGCAAACGTAAGAAAGTCGAAAGGTTTCCGCACAATGACGGTGATAACTTTGTAACATACACTTTATAATCGTATAAGTAAATCGAAAAAAATCGCTTGAAGCAAATAAGAAGAGGAATGTACCTAGAAAGCTTTTTGTTAATAGTGAGTATCTTCTGTGTCCACTGCAGAAAACAAGATCCTGCTACACTCACCGATCGTCAGAAGCGATATTATACAGAGAAAAAAGATATAAAAAGAGAATATGAATAGAGATAGATATATAATAACGGGATAGAGAGTACGCGTCCTAATTATGCACGTGAATTTGAGAAACAAGAGTCGAATATATATCCACGGAGAAACGAAATGAGACAAACAAGATAGAGTACACTCAATACATGTACATACAGTGAATACGTTACTATACTGAAAGACGCAACTTTAATTCTCGCGTAACGTTTTTTTAAAAATCGATATATACGAATGGATATAAGATGTTGCAGAAATAGCAACGAAATTGTCTTTCTGGTCGTGTATCGCTAATCGCTACTCTTCACGCATCTTGCGTAGCTCTATTTGTACATATAACATGTAATACACAACATATACAATATATAAACCTTTTATCGATCCCTTAAATTCCAATTATCAGCACCGTTTTTCATATATGTTATTCGCTAATTATTTATGGATATCCCTGCTGAATAGCGAGCAAGAAAACATAGATACAGTTTCACGTATCTATTGCAATATGACTCTGAGATATATTGACAGCACGAAAGATTTGTTTCGATATCTAGTGCATATGAAGACTCAGAATAGCATCACGTGAAATTATAAAAGAATGCGATACTAACCATCATCCGAGCCATCACCGGGAACGCCTCGTTGCTGCTGTGATGGTGACGGAGAGGACTGCGAGAGATTGTGAACCTCGTGCAAGGAATCCAGACTTCCGTATCGAACTGGTGGCAAACAAATCGACTCCATCGACGGCTATAAACGCCAACGAATCCGTGTAAGTGAATTCGATTAGTCGAACAATAAATGTCGACGATAAAAAACATTTTTGTCAAATAGCAAGGTAATATGCAAGTAAATTCTTACAGGAAAAAGAAAGTTTACTACCATACTGACTTTGACGAATGTCAGAATAAAAAAAGAATTGGCTTACATCTTTACCATGCCACGACCGCTCAAGCATAAATGTAATTGTTATTAACTTACATCTTTATCCGTTTTAAATTTCTTAATGACGCCGTTATTCATCTTCTCCCCCAGTATGCTAGTCAGTTGATTAGTAGCTTGTGCTTTTTGGTGCATCATGGGCTGTTGTTGCACGGCTATTGATAGCGGTGGTCTCGTGGTCGAACGCGATCTGCCGTGTCTTTCGGACAAATCTATCAATGATTTATCGGCAAGTCTCTCGTTCAGACTAGACAGACGTTCCGACAAGAGGCTCGGCGACACCGTAGTATCAACTATACTGTCGAGCAGATCGTCATTCTCCATCTCTCGTTTCGCCAATTGCCACTCTATCTCGATCCTTCGTCTCTCCTCCTCCCTCTTCTCGGCTTCGAGCCTCTGTCGATGCTGGTCTCTCTGCAGCATCGCTTTCGTTTCTTCCTCAAATCTCCGTACTCTCTCCTGCGTGGTCGCACTTAAACCAGCGTACGTTAAAATAGCTATTTCGTCGTTACTTTGCTTCGTCTGGTTAGATGCGTTGCTGGACACAGTGGAGCCCGTTTCCGCTGAACTTAAACCAGTGTCGATCGATAATCTCGTGGAGTCTACAGATGGTGGCGCGGATTGAAATGCGTACTTGGTACGACTCGACGAACACGTTCCGTGTGATGAACCACTGTTATTACTGTCAACCGACAGGGAACGATCCGTAGAATGATTCGGTTGACTCTTGCTCTCATGCATCTGCACGATCTCACTGACGGAACACTGTCGTTCATTTAAAGCCATACTCTGTCGTCGAATCGTCTGCAAATTCTCCGATTCTTGTTTCAACTTGACCTAATTTATTAAATATTAAATTAATATATTAATATATTATAGATGAAATTGATAGATGAAAGAGTAGAGAGATAGATTACGATTAGTACCAACCTTATCGTTATCGTGTTCACTGTTATCGATTTCGTCCTGATTTTTTCGTCTTCTTTGTATCTTTTTATTAGCTGCGGATATGATTGAAGATACAATGTCTTTAGCAGATGCCATGTCGCGCATGCCTGTTTAATCACAGCAAAAAAATAGACGAGATAAATATATTGCTTTTATAGATAAAATATACAACACGATTCAACTGTTATTGTTCAAAGTGCTAGCAATGTCAGTGATAAAATAAAAATAGAATGGGATAAAATTTGCGTTTAAGATAAATACATGTAAGACAAGAAGTGTGAGAAAAAAGTGACTAGATATAAAATAATACATAAGAAAGAGTAGATGTGATATAATACATAAGAAATAATACATAATACAATAATATATAATACATAAGAAATAAGTAATAATAGAAATAATATACCTTCGATTTTCTGAATATTGTTTAACAGAAGACTATGATTGGATGCTGGTTCAACTTCGCAACTGTCGGTCGGAAGGCTTAAATTTACGCTTAATCTGCTCAAGTCGTCTAGATCGTCCTCTGAGAAGAACCAATCGACCTGAAACACATTGAACCGAAATACACATCGATATTTTATACTAGGATTTTATTAAGAAAACGGCGTTTTCCTATTTTAACAAAGACCTACATTGTTCAGCAGACTCTCGACTATCCTACATTGATGCGACATATCGGTGACCATGGTGACCATATTATCTCTTGAACCACTCGCCCGCACCAGTGTTGGCCCGAAAACGATGGCTAAATTCTTTGCCTCCATTTTGTTGATCTCACTGTGCTCCACTATCTTCTTTAGATGCTGCATTAAATATTTCAGTGTCTCAAAGTGATGTTCCGGAAGATCTCGTAATAATTTTCGTATCGTGATCATTCTCCTCTGCGGATCTTCTATCTTATCGGCGTCGATGAACATGGGATATAGATCCGCCGTGAGCAAAGAATCGGGAAGTTGACGGAAAAACGATTTCAGCAACGACGATATCACATTAACATCGCTCCATTTCGGATCCTGGAAAAAAATAAGTCTCAGAAAAATAATCACACCCATCTCGGAGGCTCTATCAGATAGGATACCTGGAAGTTGATGTTCTCGAATCCTCTGTTGACATTGTCCGTGAGCTGACCGATCGCAGCGGTGTTTCCTGGCACTCTATAGATTCCAACAACCTCAAGACCTCTTGCCTCGACGATACTCGTGCACATTTCGACGATCAGTGGCACGTACTCGGAAAACGAAGACGCTGGACAGATCTCGAGGGGCACTTTGAAAGTGGCCCCTTCTGGCGGTGATTGTGCCGTGGGGGAGGATGGCGCGCCGCCGGCTTGACCGTGCATCCTTCTGAACTGTTTCGCCATTCGTCCTTTCCAAGTCTTCGACTTGGGCGACGGTAAAGGTTCCACCATCTGATTACTCGGCTTGCGCGTCTTGTTCACTGGCGATTGACCTGTTGGGGATCGATTCCTAAACGATGTTAGTTTTTTGATGCCTTTATGACTCGGCAGAGGACTCAATCTTTGGACGTTGTTCGGAGGAACGCCGCTATTCGGAGTTGTGGGACCTGTCGGAGTTTGCGGAACGGCTTGCTGCTTCGACGTACAAGATATGGCGTCCTGCAAAGGAATATACTTTTATGAGAAATGTGGCAAGGAAGCTGAATTCAGAATCGTCAAAACGGGAACAGCAAAGGCCAATATACTGAATTTTCGTGATATTTCTGCATCTTTATCTATTTTTTTTGTTTTTAACTTAAATAACGATTTCGCAAAAAATATCCTATAATTAATGCTTACCGATGATCTTTCTGCAGCGGCGTGAGAATGAAGTGACCTTAACCAGAGGGCCATGGATGCCGCATCCTCGGTCTGTAAAAGCACCTCTGCCGTAGGATTTGCCACTCTCAATACGTGTTTCCGTTTCGTGTAATCTTCGGCAACGTCGACCACGGAGCACCTGACATCGACACTTTGTCCTGCATTTGTTTCGCTCTCGGTGCTCAACGAAGGACTTTGTAACGACTAAAATATTGCACCAACAAAATATTGTGCTCTTATGTATGACGGCTGCTGAACGATACATAAACAGTAATGTTTAAGCATTATTCACCTGACTATGACGATCCTTGTAAAAATAAATTATAGGACCACGAAGAACACCCCAAACTTGCTTCCAGGAACGATCGGTAGATCGCTGAAATATCATTAAATACAGTTAAAAAATATGTATTCAATGCATTCTAGCGCATCTAACAATAAATATAATTCTTTTGTTGAGCTTGTGATCTTACCTTGCCATCGAGCACTGTGAATTTGACATGGAGTGTTCCCTCCCGTTCTACTGGTTCAGTATCCTTCGCAGTTTCGTCGCAGCTGTTTGACGTTACAGCAATGCTGTTACTGAAAAAGAAACGAAGCCGTTTGAATCTGTTGCTTGCAAGCAAATGTACGTATCAATTTCTTTTTAAGTACAAAATGATGCAGTCGCGGATATCTTCGATTTCAGAAACAACGGAAGAAATTTTATCGTAGTATTGTTCACAACTACATTCTCTTTATATTCATTCTCATATTTTTTTTAAACTGAAAACGACACTGAAAACAGCGGTCACATCGATTTTCAGCTTATTAGTGTCATTCCGTTAATAACATTAAAAATAAACATTAGTAACATTAAACATATATAACATTAATTTGTTCATCTAAATGTCTCCCGAGTGAAACAAATTATTCGGAAAAAAATAAACTTTCGTCTACTGCCAATAGATTTAAATGAAAAAAAAATGCATTAAAGAGAATATTACTTATGGAGAAATAAATTCAAATCACATGAAATAAAATTAAATAAGCAACAAATTAAATAGCTCAAAAGAAATTAAATAAAAAGTAAACAAGCATAATAAATCAAGAAAGTTGATAATTTCTTAATAAAGATATAAACTGAATATATCACAGTCTTGCAATACGTATGCATTAATTTCTCGCGAGTGGCGTTAGATAAGATATCCTTTCTTGTTTATTATTTCTACTGTGATAAGGGACATACGTCCACAGAGACATAAAATACGTCACATTCCTGTTCGTGGCACTAATATTAAAGTCATGTTGTCTATGTTATGCTGTTCTAGACTTCCTGAATAGATAGATATGTTCGTGTACAACTCTCATGCTTCTATCGACATTGCAACGCGATTATTCGTCACTCGCCACCGTTTACAGGCAGGTAAATGGCGCAAACGTACACATATATAGAAACGACGAGCGGATCGAGAGTGAGAGCGAGGACAAATGTACATTAGCTTAGAGGAGGAGATGCGGAGCATAGATAATGCAACTTTTTCCGTGCTTCTCAAACGGAATCTTTCGCCCTCACCGATGATGAGAGTTTCGATGTAAGGATGCAACCTGCGTCATATCTTCGAAGATGCGTCGCAAAGGCGTTATGTCGCTCGGAAATAACGGCGGCCGCCATCGTCTATGCGCACTGGAAACATGGACACGAACAGGTGCAGGCTTCGAGACATACTTACAATTAACACCTTCGAGCTAACAACGATATTACCACGTTGCTCCTCCGATAGGAAAATTGCGTAAATATTGTACAATAATTGCGTTATTCAATTGAGAGAAATTTCACAATTATTGTGCTAAGATAATTCCTCATAATGCAGCGTTCTTGCCGGCATAAAGATTCTGAATAATATTTGCACAAAAATTGAGAAATTTAATTTGAGGTTTAAATTTTGTACATTTTGACATTTTTTTAGATTTTAGAAGCAAAATCACTCCAGCACACTTCAGCATCGATATATAACAATTACATATAAGTGATATAAGCCGTCGTTCATTACATTTTACGTACGAGAAAGAATGCTATCTTTCGACGATCAATCCAGCAAGCACAGAATATGCTATAAATGATACATAATAAAATTCAAATGTATTTCTTAATTATTTCGCAATTTCTTTTAAAATTTAATTTTGCAAATATTCCGGCTAAGATAGTTTTTCATATTGCTGTCTTGCTGAAATACTATTTAGAAATAAATTGTGCAAATATTGATAAATATTTGCACAAAAGTTTAAATTTCTACTTATATGACGAAATCGGGATAAAATTGAGAATGCTGCAATTATGTCCCAATATTTGCAGCAACACTAATGAATCTTTTCCTATCGGGGTCGTTACTTCACCTCGCGCGAGCGAACCTTACGAGAAGCACGGGAGGGGAAAACGTGTTGTTGACGATATCTTTGTGTGTTCAAGGAAAGACAAATCGGTGGCTTAAAATCAGCACATTCGAATGTCATCGCGGCGTCAAGACTCAAGATGCGCGTATCAAAAGATTACTTTACTTTCTGTGAATGTGAACGGGTTCGGAATCGCTGAGCTCCAGATCGCTATCAACGTGCATTCGTTCGCCCCAGGTTGCCTTCAGATACGAAACCCGTCTGGTAGCACGATCCTCGTCACCTATTAAATTACGATTATATCGATTATAATGATTATAAACCTGTTTTCTCTTTTTGTTTCATGAAATTGTAATCGTAACGCTTTCTCTCTTTTAACATGTTTTGAAGTTTCGACATTAGGTTTATAATTATCACGAGTACTCGTTGATAAAGGCTTGAAATCGAAATATTCGACAAATAAATAACTCATTTGTTTAAGAAGATGTCGTTTAAAACTACAATACTGTTATGCTTCAATGTGCATGTAAAAACAATGGTCTCTTTTCAAATGGATTTCACGCTGAATCATAATAGCATTGTCAAGTGGAGATTTCTTTATATAACTGATTTATTACGTGCGAGAGAAGTTTCTGGTGCAAGTGCGCGCGCTTATAATTTCGATAAAACGCGTCCACATCGCGCTTAAAGCGTGCGTCGCAATAATTGCACGTAATGTTAAAAATATCCTCATCGTTCGAACTCACTGATCCGTGCATTCTTCTGTCGCCTAAGTACCGCAGCGTTATTGGTCGAGCCGTTGGGCGAAGAACCATTGACTGGTGCTGAAAGAGAAATCAATGGGACGATTATTAACGCTTTATGCTCGACCTTTATGTAACGTGGATATGTGTGAGTAGTGATGTATATCTGTAAAACGTAAGTGATAGCGGCCAAAGGGACTAACCGATTTGCAGTTTGGCCGACTGTAAATAATTGTCCTGATTGCGGTAGGCTTTATTGTTGTCCTCGGTGCTACCTTCCTCCTCGGCGGTCTGCCACGTATGCCTGGCGTTGCTCCGTGCCGCTGGACCGTTCGTAGCCTCCCAGGACTCCGCGCTGTTGCTGCGTGCTCTCAAACGCACTGATTCTGTCTCCATAGTAGGCACATCTGCTCGATTAAACGACGGGATTATTATAGCATCGTTACGGCGTATTATTATATTTCTTGTACAAACGACTGCTGATCAACATCTATCGCTTTGTTAATAACCAACGGAAGTAGAGTATAATATTATATATAGCGTGTGCGGCTGTGTTGTTGTCGCTATGTAGAAGCACCAGCGGATACGTCGTTGCTATTTTGAATTACCCACATATCATAAGAAGCTGGGCAACAAAAACGTCGGGTGCAAGGGGGCAGTTAATGTCCCCTTTGTGCATAATGTTACGTCGACAAATTCCGGTGTATCACGGCTTTATCCGATTACTTCCGCTTGGAAGCAATCTCGCGCGTCTCTTCCAAACACGGTTTTAAACGATAAAAATGAATTATTAAAACTAATTGCGATTTTATCTATGTTACGATTTTATCTATGTAGGGATAATAAACATGTACCTATTTTTGTCTTAGTTAGAGCGTGAGAAGCGGGTAAGGTGTATTAATTATTGTATCATCTATCATATTAACATTACATTATTAACGCCAAATCGTGATCGCGGTCCACACTGAATGCGAACGAATCACTGACAGCACAAGAGCGGCACAAGACGACAATGCACAAGCAGTATTCGATACAGCTTCTTAATTTTATCTACCTTTACTCTCTTTATAGTCGGCTGGTGGCTCGCAATGGATATGCTTGCTGCCTATAGGAATTATTCTGTTGCCTGTCAATGCTGCACCTAAACGATGACACTTGTTTACTGAGCATTGATCTGACAATTAGCATTATTAATTTGATCTAATCCTAATTAATCGTGAAATTCATAGCGATTACCATCGAAACGTCGGTCGATAGAAGTTTACACAATTCAATATTTGGGTTGATGCAAAAGTTTTGTCGTTTTTTCATGGAGTTTTGTGCTAAATAAAGTCATCCAAATTATTGCTTGAGGATTGAAAAGATTTCCTTAGATAAAGAAATAAATGTATTGAAGGCAGTAGCGATAATTTTGCTTGAATTTTGTTACAACTTTATCTGACAAATGTGACGCCAATCATTTCGCATCAATTTAACAGGAAAATGAAAAGGCGATTACATTGTGCTTACCAGTGTCAAGAGATTTCGTTTCTCTGGCCGGTAATCTTCTCGAGTCCTGGTTCTCGGCTTTCGACTCGAACTCTCGTTTTCGCACAGCTACATTCGGTACACTTCTCTTATTTGACAATCTGGACAATTCGCTCTTGTAAAGATTCGTTCGATCACCAGCGGGCTCATCCTCGTCGCTCAGCAAACGACCGGACTCGAACTGTTTAGCGCGTCTCGAGACGATCTGCAAGCCCTGCGGCGGTACCGGAAATCTGTCGTTGCCGGCTTTCTTGTCCGGTCCCGGGGAAGATGGTAGCGACGAGGAACCGTTTCGCGTCTCTTCTGACGTCTGTTGCTGATTTGTACTAATGTTCTCGTGTATTCTCGACAGGATGCTGACGAAACTACCTTTGCCAGCGCCTCGGTATTGCTGTTCCTTCGCGAGCTCGTTGTCATAGAGAAGCGATGGCGAGTAACAGTGATCTCCAGCTACAGACTGATTGTCTCCAAGTTGTTGATCGTTGCGCGGCTTCGAATACTCAGAGTTAGAGTCCACGTCCTTTATCCTCTGCACGCTCTGATTTGACGGCTTATTCAAACTCGTGACGGTCTTGGTAACGACATTCCTCTCTTGAGACCTTCTCGTAGGAGATTGCTGTCTCTGCTGTTGTTCATTCTGACCAGGCGGCCAGATTTGTCTCTGCAGCTTTTGCGGCCTTGCGTAGAATTCCCTCTGGATCACCGCGGATTGATCGATGTTCGGTAGCAGCGACGGCTCGACAGACCAACCGACGGGATAACTCGGCCGCCGGAGAAATTCCGCCTTCTGCTCGAAGCTCTTACGGAGTCTGTTCATAATGACGGAATCGTCGGAGCACTCGTTGCCGGTTAGAGTCGAATTTGAATCGTAGGGAGACATGCTGTCCTTGCTAGCGGCGGGCGACGAGTCCCGTCTCGATTCCATGCTCAATCTGCTGGACTCGCTCGATCTCAGCGCGTCGATGCTGCCGTAACTCGCCATCTCAGAATCAATGTTGCCGCTGCCCTCACTGGCTCGTCGAGCCACCATTCGCTTGATCGGCCGGTAGATCGGCACCTGCGGCTCTGCTTGCGAGACCGGATAACGTAACAAAGACGGCTGATAATAATGCTGTGGATGGTGCTCGCTGACGCGCACACGCTCGTAAATCGGATCGTTGATTCTGTCGTAGAGCTGTTCGTTGCTTGGCCGTGAGTACACCGACTCGGGCCGCGTCCTATCATACAGATCGTATTTCGAATCCAGGGACAATCGGCCGCTCGGTTGCACATTATCCTCACGCAGCAACTGCAATTTCCTCCCCGGAACTCGAGAGTCCTCCGAAAGATCGTATAATGCGCTTGCTTCCGAGATGCCTCTTCGTTGCTGCTGTTTCTGTTGCTGCAATGCGTTCGCGATTTGAGATTCCATAATCGGAAATTGAGACATCGTTGACGGCGACATCCTGCACATCGCTTCCTCTTGATGATTTGGACTCTCGGATGACGGTAGAGAACAAACCCAAGATTGTCGCGTTCTCGGCGATCCGCCCGGGATCATGCTGCTCATCGACTTGCGTTGTTTCTGCGATAGTCTCTCCGGGGAACGCAATCGCGGTCGTTGATTCGTTTCAGGATTATGCGCCGTATCGCCAAAGTACTAGAAAGTTTAGAAAGATATCCGTATTAATAATTGTTTGTTCTTCTTATCGTAGACGTATAAGAGCATGCGTGAAGAAAATATTGAATTGCGTTGGAAATTAAGTAAACTTGATAAATCAATAAACTGCGGCATCGCTAATAAAATATGAGCGCGGAAAATGAAGTAAGAGACAGGTGGCATTTTACGAGCAGAAAGCTGCCGCTCGTGGGAATGCAAAAATCTTCCGTACCCGTTGCAGAATGTCGTCCTCCTTGGAGACTACGAGGAGGCGTAGCCACGGTCCCGCTTGTTGAATGCGTTGCACTACGCTGGCGTACTGCTCACCCCGGGTAGGCGTCCCGTCGACGGAGACGACGCGGTCACCAGTGCGCAAACCTGCCTCAGCCGCCGGCGAATTCGCCCGCACCTGTTTCACGAAGATCGTGTCCATGGGCTCGTCGACCTTGGTCCGCTCGTGTCCCGGCAGCATCTGCAAACAACGCATAAGGGATCCACTTTCATTCTCGCTCGATTTCAGAGAGCCCCCTGCTTTACTCGCCGCTCGACGATACTCACGCAACAGGACTCGGGCGGATAGACGATGAAATGTCGCAGCGTGAATCCGTAGCCATTCTCGCTGCGCCGGAGCAGAAGGGTTCGAGGACCACGAGGAGGCGAGTTCTCCTTCTGAACGGATCTGGGAGACGCCGGATCTCCTGGACCAGGGCCCGAACTCGGCGCTGGTGGCGGGGGAGACGAGTGTCCTGCCTATATACAATTAATTAATCAATTCTCGATGAAACTCAACGATTTTTGTTAACTTAATAAACCTTTAGTTACACAAAAAAAAAGAAATATTAAATCAAAACTTATATACTCGTACTTACATACATACATTTTCAATAATCTATAATCTTTTCTTATAAGAATTTCAACTGTTTATTTAACTTCTTTTCTTGATTGAACTATATAAATGAGTTTATTCAAGTTTCCTTTGTTTAACACAATAGATCTCATTTCAAGATTATAAATGTTTGCGTATATACGAGTATATAAGTCTTGATTTGACACTTCTTTTTTTTCTGCGTATGCCAAAAATTTCAAAAGCGCCAATTAAGAATATATTAAAAATACATCTGATATATCCTCGGATATATCAGACGTCTTTAAAAGTCTTAAAATTAAAATGACTAATGAATACAGTAAATATATTTTCCAAGTACTTCATTGAAGAAACGTTAACTCTTCCTTCTTTTTTTTCTTCCAAGATGTTATAGAATTACAATTGTATTTGCTATATTATTTTGTTTTCCACCTGTTTAGACGGTTCATTTTTTCTGAGTGCTCCAAATCACTTGACTACTCCATTATCTTGATCTCTCGCTCAACGTTAATGATAAGCACACTCTAGCAAGACGAGCGAATCGCAAAAATATACACGTATCTTGCATATGTCGCGAGATTTCCAATACACGCAATCACGAGTGTTAATAGCTATCATCGCTTCGAATAGCTAACAAACAACGCATAGTTATCAAATATTGAAGGCCAGATTAGGTTCGAATTACCGAAATAGAATTCCGAATTCACGCGCGAACTGTATATTTGCGGAACATCGATCAAGTTCCTTCTCGTTATTCTCTCTCTCTCTCTCTCTCTCTCTCTCTCTCTCTCTCTCTCTCTCTTGACTTGTAGTCTAGGTAGGCCGACTAATACTAGGAAAGTCGATGCAACGCGAAAACGCGACAGACAGACTCGTGGATATCCGCCAAGAATTATTCCAAGCCGACTCCGCGAGGCGGAGGCGGCGGAGAGCTGGAGAGACGTTTAGCGCGTTCTCGTTCTCTATCGCGGGGCGAGTTGAGTAAAATTTGGCGAAACGCCAAAAAATACGCGGCTCCGGTTCGCTATAATCGTATACCTATAGGATTGAGACAAGCGAAAATCGCTTTGCTCAAAGTGAAATCACAGGAAGCGAGCACAGGGATGGAAACAGGACATCTATCTCCGAGATAGAGAAGAAATCGATTACCGACAAAAGTCCAACATATACAAGACTTCAAAGCGCTAAAGCCTCGAAAAGGCAGAGATTAAAGACGTCTTTCCTTCAAAGACAAACGAACGTTTCGAATTCTTTCTTTTTTTAATTTACGAAATAGCAGGATAACAGCCTTTGCACAATGCTAGGCAACAGGCAATAAGAACAGGGAATAGAAATCAGAAATCATGTATAAATGCAGAATAAAGAGTGACACAGGCAATAGACACAGAGTTTCCGTCACGTTGGAAATTCTGTTCCTATTGCCTGTTGCCTGACATTGTGCAAGGGGCTTAACTCATGGCGAAAATATAATTTATCTCAAATATAGGAAAATGAGATAAAACAAGATACACTAAAAACTAAAACAAGCAGTCGACGAAGCGACGATAAGACGGCAATCAGCGGCGTTTCGCGGTTTTCCGCGTTATCTAATCCGCTCGGATGCATTTCGGACGCGTGCGGAGTCGCGCGTATCAACGCCCGACGGTACCTTTTCGAAACTTCAGTCGATAGCATCTTCTTTTTTATTCAGCCGTCCTGTCCGATAGTCACGAATAACGCGATGCGCGCGGCAACGCGACGCCAATACGAATAAAGGGAATCGATAATATCGAAATTTTTGTCGCGGTACCGCATACCGAAGTGACTTGCGTATACCGCTCCGTTATTATTGTCTCGTGCCGCGCGGTTTTCCGGTATTTCGCAGGCGAGCGAAGTCGGTCGATCGGATGTTCCTGCAATGCATGGAAAACAGATCGCGCGGACGTGAGCGAGCGTCGCGATGACGATGTAGGTCAGAAGAGAATAGGCGTTGTCAACGGCAAGTGGGTCACCAAACCGTACAGAGTGCGGAACGACACGGTCAATAATTACGTGGACACACGTTTGTGTCGCGGCGTCTTCGGACACGCGTGTGTCCTGCCCCCCCCCCCCCTTCCTCGCCGCCCGACCTTCTGGTCACGCATCGTAAATCGCGACGTACATACTACATACGTTCAATATACGCTCGCGCTCGCGAAACACGTCTTGCTCTCGGGACAGGATGGAAGTCGGCGAGGACGGGGGGAACGGGCAGGTCAGGAAGAGAGGTATTTATGTATGCATACATTGAAATCCACTTGCGAGAAGAGGGAACGCCATCACGCAAGGTCGCGAGTACATTAACGAACTCATTTTCTCACCCTCGAATCGACGATGTTATGCACAAAAGCTTCATCGTGTGTGCTGTCGAACAACACGTTTATATGGCATTCGCTCGACGCGACACAGAAAAAAAGAAGTGTCAAATCAAAACTTATATACTTGTATGTACGTAACAATCTGTAATCCTTTTATAAGAATTACAACTTTTCATTTCAACTTTTTTTTCCTTGAACTATATAAAACTATATAAAACTTCGTTTACCTGTAGTATAAGTGACTTCGTTGAAGTAAGTTTATAATTTCACTTCAAGATTATAGATTGTTGCGTATACATACGAGTATAAGTGTTGATTTGACACTTCTTTTTTTTTCTGTGGATATTGTGTCAAATATTCGACTAGAAATATCGCTATTGCGTTACCGGACGCGTCATTCGTAAACTGCAATTTGGAGACGATTTCTCCTTCATGAGCATACAATCGTTTATCTTTTCCAACTTTTACTTTTATAATTAAACTTCAATCAAATCTCTCTTGATCACTCTGCTTGGAATTAACTGAAGAATAGGATCCTGTTTTTTTTTTAATTCATCAAAAGCCTCTTATCGTCCTTCGTTAATCATTCGAGAGTCATAGGTGCTTCAAAGAAATTTTTTTCTGGAAAGAAATTGATTTCAAATCGGCTGAAGAAGGGAATATCATCTCGTCGTCTTTGAGAACGCGCGGAGGGAAGATTCTTTTGGAGAATCTCCTTCCTTAGATCCCGCAGAAACCTCGCCTAAAGTTTTAATCAGCCGTTAACCGATCGCAAACCGGTTCACGCCAACGCTCGCGTGGGGCTCCGATCTTCGATTCGAGGTCTGTTATCCTTTTCGCTGACCGCGACGCTCGCCATTTCCGCCTTCGCCAACGAGCACGACGCGCCGACGGCGCGCAGTTCCGACATCGATAACGTCGAGTTCCGGGGAGCGTTACGGCCGTTTGTTTACCATTTCAGAGAAATATCGAGTCGACGGTCGTTGTATGAGCGGAACGAGTGCGATCTTCATATTCACGATATTAAAAACAGGATGCGGTAATAAACGATTCTCTCGTTCGCTCGCTTTTCAAGGAAGAAAACGTGATTGGAATGTTCTTGTTTTCTCGAATGGATCGGCCAAATTTCATCCTCGACTCCAATCGCGAACAATACGCGATAATTGTATTCTCCTGTCGCTCACGCCACGCGACAACTATTCTCATTTCGCATGCCAATCGCCGCGCACTATTCGCGAGCGTTTTCCTTGTATCAGTGTTAATACGATTCAGCACGTCCCGCGTGCAAGTGGCTTACGTAATTCCGTTTTACCGGCGACTCTTACATAAGAAGCAACTCCGATCGACGACCGATAGGCGATTTCCAACTTTTCCAATGAAAAATGGGAATTTCGCTGGAATTTCGACGTTAGACAACCATTTGTTTTTGACGTGTGATATTGATTTATTTTGTTACATTGATCTAATTGTATATTGATCAATCGCTCGCTCAATCCATATACGCATGGATTGTGTAGTCGCCGATCTTTGAAATGAAAATAAAAAAGGATCTCGCGGACACATACCGAGCCGCGCAGTTTCCTTTTCGGCGTCGCGGACGTGCCTCGAATCGAGGCGAGCACGAGCCTTAAACGCGTCGCGTTTAAAAAGTGGAATGCTTCATCCATGGCGATGCGACCTCGCCGAAAGAAAATGAAAAGGAGAACTGACTGGAGGGAAAGAAACTCGCGGCTCTACCGTGAGTGAATGAAAAGCGAGAAGTGAAAGAAGTGCGGGAAAGGATCTCACACGCATCTCCGGGAACTCGCGCCTCTCGCGAGAGATTCGTTTTGTCGCCGAGCGTGAAATCGGCTAATCTAGCAGGACAAGAATATCACATCCGGCTGCAAACGTATACAATCTTTGAGAGTCTCCGAGCCGGTTGAATAAACACGTAATCAATCGTGCAATTTTTCAAAATGTTACTCGAAACCTTTTTTCAGGAATAGAGGATGGATATCTTTAAAAGGTCAGCCATAGCCCGCTAAATGCTTAATGCCACCCAAGATCCGTGCCCTACATTTCTAATTTTAGTATCGAAAAATCAATTTTACTGAAAAATTGATAAGAGATATGTTTTTTATTTCAACGACATTTACGCTCTTCGCTCTGTCAAAAGCGTCTTTGGTGTCTCAAAGAAAAAAACCTCGTCGAGCAGATTTCGCATCGTACGTAGTGTCGGTCGACTTATCCGTGGATCAATCGAGTGTGAAACTCATCGCGAGGGATGACGGACGAGTCTTCTCTTACGGATTAATTTTCCGCGGCATGCACTAACGGGTATGCCATCGTCGTCGCGATCGACATCTTCTTATCCCCGGCGTCTTCGTCGCCGAGTTGAATGTCAGGTAAGGAGACGCTGCACGGCTCGTCCGCGCGAATCTTCACGCGATTTATCTATCGGGACGTGGACTCCGAGTCGGAGTCGCTGAACGTCACGTCGTCGTTGTCGTCGTCGTCGTCATTCGCGATACCATAACCGGCGCGATGGTCACGGCAATACTGCCGCGACCGACTACCGTCAACGGCGGCCCAACCATGGGAAATTCGCGAACACGATGCGCATTACTCCCTCCTGACGACGTCGCGTCATCGTTATCGTCACCTCCTACAAAACATAGCGATAGCCGTCGGCGATAGCCGCTACCGCGGCACGCGCGTTTTCGAGCCGTCCGCCACCGGTGACCGACGGCTCGACCTCTCTCGGCGCGACGCGTCGCTCTTATCTCGCTCCTCTCTCCGATGGAATTTTCTTCTTCTCCTTTCGCGGATATCCGTCGCTCTTGGAACACAGTGCCGGAGTACCATACTCTGTCGACTTCTCCTTCTTTGCTTAGTTAGATGATCCACCCTTTTAATTCCATTAACTCTAGAACCGGCAGAAATCACACAGCGTGGATCTCCCAGACCCAGACAAAACTTTGCTTGCTCGGAAAATTTTCTATTTTCGACATTTAGTTTTAACTTTATGACTTGACAAAACGGTATTAAAATCCATTAGACATATTCCTAAGTTTCAGAGCTTCAAACTAAAAAAAATATAAGTCCAAAAATATTTATCTGAACTATACAGCTTATCAAAGTTGCATGGGTCTCCTAGATCCATGGTGTGTTTTCTGGATGCTCTGGAAGATGTGTTCTAAAGTTAATGTTGTCGATTGTTGTTTGGCTTCGGTGATCGAACGCGAATCGGTTATACATATTTGACGCGACATGAAAAAGCTTCTCGGATGTGGTCTGTCATTGGCATCGGTACAGGATATAAAAAGACCAATGAGTCTTCGCCTCTCGTTCAGTGAAAATAAGAAAAAAAAGAACATTTCTATAAAGTAAAGTTTGACATAAAGTTTCAAGGTTGAAAACAAGAAATTTGCCGAAATATTTTTTATCAAAATGATTTGTGTGAAAGCGTCTGCGTGCGTCATAACGATAAGTTTAATGGAGGTTGCGGTCGAATTCGTGACACAGCGAGAGACGACACTCACGGTCGAAAACGCGAAAGTTCGCCATCCGCGAAAGTTAAACCGGTCGATCAATTCTTCGATCGCAGGTTCCCTGCGAGACCCCCGTCGATTTTGCCGCTGAAACACCGCGATATACCGATTGCTGAAATAAAATACTCGTCGTAAACCGAAGGAGACATTTTTGACGCAAAATTTTATAGGAAAATGAAAACCCAAGATCCATTATATTCATTTTCAATAATAGATAGGAAGAAGTAGAAGTAGAAAGAACTCCAAGTTTCGAAAGAAACGTTTAATTTGAATGTATAATGGAGAAAATAAAACTTTCAATCGAACAACTCGTTTGCAGCCAGAATCGCATTGCGAGCAAAAGTTTTCCAGAGTCGTGTAATATGCAATCTTCACGTTTCTCTTTTTTTTCTGGATATACGCGGTTAAAGCGATTTCGAAATCGGTTTCTCGATTGAGAACGAGATGTGGTCAAAGACTGTTGCAAAATTACAGGATGCGTCTTCTTAATTTTCTTATTTTGTCGACCGTTACGTTATGCCTTTTGCTCCATACGTGAATGACGACGCGACTCATCAAGTTCGCAAGATCGAATCGATAACCGCTCGAACGCGCGATCGCCTCGGAAGCACGAGGAGAACCGCGTCCCTATATATGTTAAAAACGAATTGCGGAATGACCGCCTTGAACGTTTCTCACTCCGTTTCGATGAAAAGAGCCCGGCAACGGGCCACTTTCGCGAACGTGCGCAATATTTTGCACGCGAGCAGAGGCAGTCGATCGGCACGAGTCGTTGTCTGCATGCTTTTTTTTCAAACCGCATTACGTTACATTTTCTAAACTCGGAATGAAACGGAACGAAACGAATGCAGCCCTGTGGATCGAAATTTCTATTGAAAGAGAAAACAGAGTGGGCGGGCGGGGAAGACGCAGAAAGCGCGGTATCCAGAATCAAATTAGAGAGGTGAGAGTGGAGCGAGAACAACTGATTAATTAGCGTTGCATGACGGTCGCATCTGTCTCGGGTCTCAAGAATGCCCTTTCTTTTCCCTGGAGATCGTGACTTCCGAACGAGGACGCGCTCGCGAAGAACTCGCTCTTTCCATGACGAGCTGATACAAGCGAGACGACGTTGCGACTTAATCGTTAATTTAATCGTAATTTAGTTATAAGTGCGCGAGACGTCGCATGAATATGGAACACTTTACACATTTCACGAGTTTGTTCAACGAGTCCTGCGAGAATAAATGCGAAAAAACCTCCTATCCGATTCTACATCTCAAGTTTTCAGCTAGATTAAATCTCATTAACTTTGGACGTGGTCGTCGAGATTGCCCTTTACGACAGGATGTCCTCTTCTTTTTCTCGAAGATGGAGCCTGTTTTCTTTTTTTTTTCCCCCCCCCCAATAAGACCACGCACGCACGACACTATCCGGCCGTGTTGGCCGGATTTGCGTCATCGTAAGCAGATTCAGACGCACACGGTGGGTGGACTAATCGGGGAAGTAAGTAATCGATGAGCAAGCATTGTGGCGAGAGAGCGCGCGTAATGCTACGTTGTGCGTGATTATGCCACGGGTCAACGCGGGACAAACTTAAGTAAGCGCTTTGAAGAAGATTACCTCTGGTAAGAGGCAGAACAATACAAGTAACCGCGCTACCTGCATTATAGCTACTGCAAAATGAAAACGCGCGAAATAAAACACACAGTATGAGAGGGTCGAGACTGTGAACCGCAAAAGAGTTTCAAAGTTTTATGAAGAGAATCTCTTACAAAGTAAACGTCTCTTCTCTCCTAAGTGACGATCGCAAATTTATTTGCGCGTCGTGCTGAAGTGACGCGACGCCCTCGCAATAGTCCGCTTCACAAGATTTTTCGTTAAACGAGTGGGAGCGCAGAGGCAAGGGTATTCGGGGAAATTTTCGTATAACAGTGCTCTATGACTTTAAAGCCGGGTAGGCTTTATTTGCTCTCCGGTATAACACACTCGGTGAACTATTTTTAAGCTGCTTATTTACGCAAACTGCCATCGCGCGCGCGCGCGCGTGCATTTACCGTTCTCGGAGCATACACATACACACATTTTCTCTCTCTCTCTCTCTTTTGGGATGGTTTACCAAAAATCTTAAGGAATTCTCGACATGATCAGGCATCGTGATTTATTTCTTCAAACGAGAAGCGTTTAGTTCGTGATAAGTGGCCGTCAAATCCTGTGAAGCTCATCGATTTTCCGAAATGTACTATCCGTAACCGCGATGAGTCTGTCGACGATAGCCATGCCGTCAGCGAATCACGTGGTGACGATCTATACTATTCGTTTCTCGAGCACGGAGCACGCCAGGACCTCTCGGAAACGCGTTGTTGACGTCGACGTCGTCGATGCAAAACCGGGCGCTCCGGAAAATCGAACCTCGCCGACTTGTTTCTCGCCAGGACGCGTTTCACGGAGTAATCCGTCGGCGGTGAGGACGAAAATGAGAGCCGCTGCTCGCGAGCTGAGTGCGGCGGCAGTGCGGTCAATGTCAGAGCGCGGAATGCATTCCGATCTAAAAATTCACGCTCCCGCGGGAAAGACGATCGAACGAGCAGCCACGTGGTCGATTCTCGACGGCCACGGAGATGTGTGACATCGGCCAACTCGTTCGCCTCCCTCGCGGCTCGGCTCCGCGACTTTTCTAAAATTATCGAATTTTGCGTTGCGCGAGGACATCGCTAATCGGCGACTCAATCTATTTGGCGATTAACGTGGCGAAACGTCACTTACCCCGTGTGGCTGCCTGACGAAGCCCCGGTGGTTATTTCGGTCGTCAGCCATTGCACCTTGTCCTGAAACCAGCCAATACAGCGAGATTAGACGCGAAGGTATTGCCGTAAGAAAAAGCATGATAGAAAAAAAAAATAAAATTAATTTAAATTTCGCGATCATTCGATAAGTCTTGCCTATCTTCGAAAAGATCGTCAAGTTATACGGTAAATTTTACCGAACTTTTCGCGCGATTTAACGGTTTCACGTGCAAGCAGGAGATAGTAATGCAATAATGCTCCGTTTTTTCAGCCTCTTTCAAGCGATTTTACTTCGCGCAAGATCGATTAGCAATCAACGACGTATCCTCGTCAGCGATTCTCTCCATTAAGTCGCGACCGGCCGACTACCTACTCTGACCTCGCGCGATCGCGGGACTCGTCGTTCCCGTTCTTGAACGACATCTTGGCATCCGCAGAATTAACGTCATTAAGCGAATTGACGTGGTTTCACGCGAGAAACGAAAGGTATCGTGTGCGCTCGCTCGCACGCACGCACACGTCTGAAAACATTCTTATCGCAGACTATCATTGGAGCCGATCGGTGACGTGTTGTGGGACAAGACGTTAAGGGGCGTCGTAGGACGGGTCAGCGTGAAATTTTCCTTCGACCGCAAGCAAGACGCAGGTATAACGACGATGTTTATTATCTGCCGGAGCCGAGCGTGCGTATCCGCGCGCTCGAAACGGTATACCAATTGAAGACAGTCGTACCAGACCTGGCTGGTAATTACTCTGAAACGCGGTTGACTCCCCTCGCAACGGGTGTTCGCGGTTTCTGGATTTTTTGTTGTTGTTGTTTCTGTTTTTTTGCCGCTTCACGTCGAAGACGTGCGAGACGAAATTGTCGATTCGCCGCAACTGCACCGTCTGCACCGCGCGTCCGATTGGAAGGAGATCGCGAGATTCGCTCGCAAAAAGCGATCCGTCATTACCAAGACTCCGGGAGCGGCCTCGTTTGCTCCACGCGATTTTCCACGTGACGCTGAATCGCGCGATTGAGATCGGGACGAGATCGTCTCGAGCTTATCGTGAATTTTGACCGAGAGAGCACATACGTACACATATACACCCGCATATACATGCCGCACCCATCGTGCGATAATTTCGATCGATGCGAATGCGCTTACGATCGAAAACGGAACGGCTCAAGCCGAGCGACTAGCGAGCGAAATAATAACGAAAATGGAAAGCACGCGCTCCGATGTTATCCCGAGGTAAAATACTGAGTTTCTTGCGAGAACTTTTGTACAGCTTGGCCGCTTGAAAGGCGAATACCTCTCGCGGCATGTCGTGTTTTATGTCGGAATATATATCGGCACATAAAATATGAAATATCTCGTAAAGCATTGATTTTTCTGGCGGTCCGCCTCGATATTTTTGCCTGGAGAAACAAGGAAAATCAATGTAGAAAAATCGTATCAAAATACAAAATCTGATTTAAGTGTTTCAAATTTCGATTTAAATTTTGTAAACCATGATATTTACATAAATCCAAATAATTTCTTATTTACCTTTTGGTAAAAAACAACAGAGATATTTCAAGTGATTAAATTAGGTGAGAATTCCTTTGCATGTGATAATATACCTAACAGTATAGATTTGTTTTTTATCGCTGCGCTGAACCGTGCTATAGAGCTTTCCTTCTCGCTTTCGTCAAATTTCACAAACATATACCTATTTCACAGATTTCACTTCAAGCACAAAGAGTGTACGTAAGTTTTAGTTTTAGCTATTAAAAAAAAAACCCGGAAAAATCCAACAATAAATTGCATTATCATGGTACATGAAACAGCTGAAAAACGCGAGTGCGCAAAATGTTGAACGCTTTCGATCCTACCGCTCGCTTCTGCTCGCCTCGAAATCGCCCGTTCGAAAACGCGACGTTGGACGCTTGTAATCAGCGCGATTAATAGCCGCGTCACGCACGTGCCTCCGATGCATTCTACGTGCGTGTATGCGCGTGCACACACGTGTGCCTGCCGCGCGATCTTGGCCGGCTCGTTTATTATTGCGGGGCGACATCCATCATCATGGATCGCTTCCGATAAACTGTCCTCGGTTACCGCGCGCGTCGAACGATCGCCTTCCCCAGCAAGTCGTACCGTGCCAAATGCGTGCTCTCGCGTTGTCCGTGCTTGTCGTTTCCTAGAAACTTTAATCGGAAAGCGAAAAACCACTGTTCGCGCCGATCGACAACTGTAAGATCTGTATATGCGCACGCACGTGCATAAATATCTTATTTTACGTAAAATCTGAGAAGAAAATCTTACGACTTAAAGTTTCTCGATTCCGACAATTACTAACACCTTTCCGCGATAGCATTATGCGTAAAATGGAATTGTATACAAGTGTGAACGCATCGAGCTAATAGCGTTTTCTACTGGGAAAACTAGCGCAACATGTTTTCAGTGCTTAATGTTCTACTGTGTTTAATTTGACAAAAATTTCTGTCAATAGAACATTAAACACTGAAAATACGTGAACTGATTTTCACAATTGGAGCAATAAAATTGCACTCAGTGTGCACCAATGTTGCGCTAGTTTCCCTAATAGAAAACGCTATAAGAAAAGCGTTCAAACAAGACATACCGGTGGTATTGTTTTTCACGGAGGAGCGTCCGACTGTCCTATCTTTAGAACTTGTTAAAAGTACTATCTTGGACAGATGTTAAACGCGAGTCTCCCATAACGAAACAGCACCCAGGAGATAAGAGAGTCGTGTTCCTTGGAAAATTGCTGAAAACTCGAGCACCAGGGGTTCCCCTCTCTCTTTCTCTCTCTTCTCTCTCCCTCTTTCTTTTTCTCTCCACGTTGTTGACGCGCGAGGTCGGGATTTAGATCGGGATCTAGATCGCGGCGGCGCGGCGCTTAGGAGTTTGATGCCCCGATTCGAGGTTTCGAGCGAAACGCGCCAATGCTCGTGCCGTATGTTGGGGCACGCAGGGTTCGCGTAAACGGAGTAACGCGTCATGGTCGCGCGTCGGACGCGCGATGCAACGGCAATAGGGCCGAGAGGAACCGCGAGGAACAAGACGAGACGAGAGGTGTGGTGGAGGGCGGGGACATAGGGGGCCCCGAGTTGAGGTGAATCGCGCGCGAGGCCGTCTCTCTCTCTCTCTCTCTCTCCCCCTCTCTCTCTCTCTCTCACTCTCTCCCGCGGTGTAACGTACCTAACGCAGGGTATATCACGCGCTGTTAGCAATTGTTCGTAGCGCCTCCGCTGGCCTACGAAGACGCGAGGCGCCTCTTCTCATCCGCGTCCGACGACGTTGCGCCGAGAGACCGACGTAGCCTCGCGCGACCGGAGCGTCTGAAGACGTTCGACGGCGCATCGGCGACGAGCCGCCGTTCCAGGATGCATTATAACTTTTCCTGTTCTTCTTGCGTCTTCCTGGCTCTCCTTCTCGCTTTCTCTCTCCCTCTGCCTCTCTTCTTTTCCTCCGTCTCACTCTATCTATCCTTCGTGCTCTTCCGTGCCGAACACTCCGACACGGGGGAAGGGGACAACCAGGGAGGGGGGCCCTCAATTCTGTGACACTAGGGAGACGCACATGATACAGCTACCGCGGCTCCGGCCTGCACACCGTGGGCCCTAACACGAATCTCTCGTATCCCGGCCACGTCGTTGCGAGGAAACTACGTTACGTATGAGGCGCGCGACGATTATCTTCTTGGCACTGTGACTCGTTAATGACGACGAACGTAGGCCGCCGCGCTAGTAACATGGCCAGACCAGACTGGAACGGCCAGGAACGGCTTCGAAGTACTCCGAACGTCCGAACTCCGAATGCACCGAGAACCTTCCCCCCTGGCGCGAGTATCCGCACTATCCGCTCCGCTTCCCTCCAGATAGAGGCGCCACAGCCGTCGCTTCTTGTCGCTTCCTCCTTTCTCTGGTCGAGGAAAGAAGGCCTCGACCCGCCATCTGTCGACGACTTCCGTAGACTTAGCAGACAGATATTTCTTATTTTTTATTATTGCAATTATTTGGGAATTGTTTAGCCAAATTTAGAAATATATTCTCATAGTTCAAGGAAATCCACCAATCAGAGTCGACTATTCCCCTCTTCTTCCCTCTTGAAAAGAAATCCCTTTTAGAAAAAGATGAAGAGTGAGTTTAGCTAAATTTCAGTTTAAAGGACTATTGAAAAACTGGCCTAAGTTATTCACCAAATTAATAAATATATACATTAATACTAATAATATTAAATGTATTACTCAATTATATTATTCATTAATTCAATGAATAATAATTTCAATAACCTATAAAAAAATTCGTTGTCTCAAGAAAGTTTTTTAATTAATCTACGAAAAAATTCATTAATACAATGAATAAATCAATTATATTATTACGTAATATCAAAACACGTGGTCATAAACTAATGAAATCTAATGTATTACTCAGTTACATTATTCATTGTCTCAATAAAACTTTTTAATAAATCTATGAAAAAATTCATTAATACAATGACGTAGTCAATTACATCATTTCATATTATCAATAAACGTGATCATAAAGTAATGAAATCATTAATCAAATTAACGATTGCATGCATTAATAATAATAAAGTCGTACCGTATGCATGATTCAATTATATTATTCATTGACTCAATAAAGTTTTCCGTTAATATAATAAATCCATGACAGATTTTTCAATGTACATATTTATTGTTACAATAAATTGTAGTAATAGTTTAATATTCAAATTATTTTTTTATGAACTATAAAGCATTATGATAATAAATAAATAATTCTTTGGACCAATTTTAATGAATTTTTTATTTACAATGAATGCTTTTATTGCATTCATGTACAGTTTTGGTTCAGTGTGGCTTCCCTTAAGAGGATCCTGGAGTCACGGCAATTACCGACATTTCAGTTAAACCAATTTTCTTCGAATTGACTTTACAGAATGGAAAACCCGTTTACACGTTTAAAGTACGTACAGAAATCATGTGCGGGATAGTAAATTTCAGACTAAAATCTTAAGAAAAATATATTTAATACTAGTTTTGGTGTTGCACCTTTTGTACCTAGAGCTATATATCACTTCAAGGAAACGTTCGCTTATATACAAATTATATAGCTTATGTACATGTACAAATTGAAAATGTCCCGCACCTCGGACTAGATCGGAAAGAACAGCGTGGCCATTAAAACTAAGATTGAAAGCCTAATAAGAAAGATTTTTCATCCAACTGCTTTTATGCATATACACACATACAGTGTACATGACGTTGCAATCTGACAAGGGCAGATATATCGCAAATATCTCGTTAGATAAGGACATATATAGACCGGAACATAGAAAACGGTCAAAATTATCGACCCCGTCGGAGTTCGGTCGTGACTCTAGGATCCCCTTAAGGGGGAAACAACCCAAGTTAGACTTTAATCTTCTTCGATGACCGAATCGATGACCGAAAATCGGAAAACGCGCGAAATATTGACGTCAATTCGACTAATTATCTGGCTGAGAACAGCACACTTGTCCAAAAGCGGGACATAAGACGTCTAAAAGACGTCTTTCAGACATTTTTTAGACGTTTTACTAAAAGATGACTAAAAGACGTCTAAAAGATGTCGAAAAGACGTCTTATGTCCCGATTTTGGACATGATGCTGTCTGGGATACATTACGAAATTCAGCTATAAAAAAGTGAGTGCCCTTTTGTTTTTCTCGTTTCCTTCTGTGAACACATCTAGTTATTATGTATCGGTCATTTTAGTATGACTTCGACTGTCGCTGATGTGTTCGCAGATATGGCTTACGATGTGTTTTCTCGTCCCACACCGTTCTGTTCTTATATATTTTTTGACGCACAGAATATGTAAGCTGCTTATTTTACTATATATATTTTAATTTATTTTAATTTTATTCTAATTTTTCATCTTATGACTTTTGATCCGTTTATTTCGATCTGCATCGCCTCCACAAAAAGACATATGCCAACGAGTGGAAGATGATGTAAATGGCAGCCATGAGGGCGATATCGGGCCAGAAGTTGCGCTCATCAAAGTCGTAGCGATCCAACACCTCAGTGCCCTCGGTAAGGCAGGGTAGGTCGATCGTTTCGCAGGCTGTTCACAGGAAACAGATCCGTTATATGTCTCGTAAAGGAGCGACGCTCGATGAAACTCACATATATTATGCACGCCTCTCCATTGGATAATGGTAAGAGCTTCCGTGGAGTGCAGTAGCCAGGAGACGTATCTTATCCATCGCACGTATACGGGCAACGAGCTACCGATCGGGCATCAATAAAAAGAATTAAGGCTCCAGTAGTGTGATTCTGTAACTCGTTATGCAGTATCGCGCTGGGCTTTTTCCGCTAGAATCCCTCTAATCAAAGTCTAACCAACTTGCAGTTCTAGCATAATTCTGCGAGAGAAAAGGGATATATACATTCACTATTGCTTTCTCTTTGTTTCTATCTCTTTCTTTGTCTCTTTTCTATCTCTTTCTCTTTCTCTTGCTTTTGCCAAGAAATGGCGAACCAATCAAAAGTTGCTACCGTATGGCCAGACTCTGATTAGAGGGACTCTACTTTCCGTCATCATGTGAGTAAAATGAATGTAATACGAATGCAAGCTTATGCACAGATGCATGACTAGGGTTCGTATTACATTCATTTTATGGCTGTTTATTAACTGTCAAGGAAATAGTTTTCGGAATATTTTTGAAGTGTGTTGAAGTAATCTAAAGTGTTATTTTACGCAAATATCTTTTTATTTGTAAACGGCGCGCATAAATTCTCAGCGTGTCATTTCTCGCCTCTGACATCATGATCTCACATGATGATGGAAAAAGGCCAGAAGCCTTAAAAAACCCCGCGATTTAAAATTATAATAAAAAGAGGAAAAAATACGGTGGATCCCTGATAACGCAGGAAATATTTTTCGCGTTACATAAATTCACTTCATAGATTATACATACGTTACGTATGTATATAGAAATATGGTAAATATTGCGTTTAACGGAGCAACGAGACATAAACTTTAGTACTGCAGGACATAGATTGCTAATATATCTGATAGCTAGCAGAATGCCGGCAGTATTCCAACAATCTGAACATGAATATGCAGCAAGATTCCTATATTATTTTCTAGCAGCACGATTTGCTGCCATAATATGTAATCGTAGAAACGCGGCAAAAACCGTGCACAACGTGCCGTCACGATCTGCCATCAAATAATGATATCAGATTCTGCTAGATTTTTGTTTCATCTCTATCACATTATCTGACACGGCAGATCATGCTTTGCTACTGCCAAAATTATCCCATGCAGTATAGCATGCAGCACATGGTTTTGCAAAGCTTGCTTTTAGCAGAATTGGCCATCTTGGCTAATATAAAATTAATTATATATTATACCTATTTACACTTGGTAATAATATACTATTTATCTTAGAAATAAGAAATTTGTTAATATTTATTATCTGTTGGAATTATCCACAAATACATTCCAACATCGTTTTTTGAATAATGACTATGTAAATAGGATAATGGATTAGTGTTTCGTTACATATGTATCTAATGCGTTAGACAGGGTTGGTTTACCGCGTTACCGTAATTTTTCTGTTATATGAATCCATGTTATATACGAGTACCACATTATATAGGGATCTACTGATTCAGAATATCTGCGAAACGCACAAATGTCCATAACAATCTTAAAACTTGGTAGAAATGTAGAAATTTAGATGGAATAATCGTAAATACCCGAGCTTAATGAAAGGTCCCATGGTTATCATAAGAACGTAATCGAAGGGCACCAGATATGCCATCGCCAGCGGCACGCTCTGGTAGACAGACGAGAAGAAACACCCTGAAACGTAAGAGTTCGCATAAACGGACACGTAATCTGTCGCTGGTATTTGAACAGATGGAAACGCTTACCGCAAGCAGTAGACACATTCATCGTGAATATAACTACCAAGATGGTCAGACCGAGAGCGTCCATTGCGGGACGCAAACCTGCCAGCCAATACATTATTACGGTAAACAGCATCGGTTCCATCAGCAATCCAGGCACCTGAAAAACTCAAAAATGTTCTCGCAAATCGAGAATCGCGTACACGACTCATCGGTGCCTGCGTGGACCGATTGGAAAATTGGACTCACCAGCGATATCATTCGCGCCAGGTAATAAAGATGAACGGAATACATGCCCGCTTTGTACTCTCGAAGAAGAAGCGGCAATTCCTGCGGAATCAACGCCAGGGTCGCGTACATAGGGAAAAACGCGTTTTCGCACACTAGAAGATATATAACACCATCCACAGCCTGAATGCCCAATTGATCAAAGTCAATGGCGCCTACGAAACACAGGCCGGCGGTTGTTGCAATGGTCTGCAACTCGACTCATTATTAACTTCCGTATACGCATCCAACAAATTGTTCAATCGGTTCCTCGCACGCAGTGAGTCAATTATGTAACTTAAAACGATGTGAATAAAATTATAAAAGTGAACAAATTTACTAGATTTTGACAAATAAAATCGTAGATACTCTAGCGGAAAAATTTTTACAACTTACAACACGCCAAAACTACGTCATAACTACAACTTTTTGCGTAAAAGTCTTCGGGATAAATACGCCGAAACAACAACTTACTATGAAAAACTGAGCCGAAAATACAACTTACTGCGCTAAACTGTACCGGAGCTATAACTATCTACGAAAAAAGTGCAAGATTTAGAACATGTTTGTAGATACCCCGATAGGAAAAGATTCATAACATTATATGACGAAATCGGGATGAAATTGGAAATACTGCAATGATCATATTATATGATAATTCTAGAATAAAATGCGGTTTAGTTATATTTTTATAGAAGTTTTCAGTCAAAATTTTGGTTTAAAAAAATGGGGTGCGACAACAGGCACAGTTCCTCTACAAAAGTTATCTTGCCTTACTTGTTTCCATTTTTGGTCAAAGTCTGAAACAATTGTTAAAAGTCGTACTTTTTTTAGAAATTTGTAATTTCTATGAAAGTACAACAAATGACTCCGTGCACCTTTTCATTTCCCATCTATGTCCGAACTATGCCGTAGAAACCAGTAGTTTAGCATATAGATATTTCTATAATTTGTATAGAGAAACTACAGCTAACTATATATTTTTGCAGAAGCTAGGTTGTAACTCATTTTAGATGGTTGTATAAATTTTCTACAAAAAACTACAACTTTTTAAAATATGAATGAGTTGTAAATTTTGGATACTTTATTGTAGAAAGTTATAATTTATTGTCGGAATGGCATACTTTCTTATAGTTTTTTTTTTGCCAAAATATTTTAGTAAATTTCCTCACTTTTGTAATTTTCACCGTTTCAAGATACATATAATCGATCCTCAGATTTATCTTAAAATTCAAACAATACAGGGATACACTTATTAGAACATCCTACCGATCACTCACCACTTTCTGCAGTATCCTGATCAATTGCACCGAGGGATCGCGCAGAACTTGCAGGAATCCACGATGGATCAGCCAGTAGAGCCGCAACCAGCTGCGCGATTCCACGCTGAATTAAATATAACAACGTGCGTAAATATAACTAAGTCATCGAATTTTCTTAGATACTTTTGATATTTGAACTGTTATCAAATTCTTTTGCGTAGAAGACACTTACAAGGCACGCGACTCGCGAATATTTTTTTCGATCTGAAACAAAAAGAATTCTTGTCGTAATTTCCTTTAATCGTCAATCGTTAACATCTGTTTTCGCAACAATTTGCTTACGGGGGACTGCAAATGAGCGGTATCAAGCTCCTGTTGCAATATAACGTCGATTTCGTTGCCGACTTCGCTCGTGAGAAATGCGTCGCAGATCTTCTGCGCGACTCTTCCGCTACCATCCGCATCGCTGGGTGCAATCGCTAGAGTCGCCACCAGGAAATCGGCCGGATTATAATTGCATGGACACTCGTAGCCTTGGCTATGGATGACAATAGCAATAACAAGTGTGTTTCAATGAGTGTTTCAATCTAACATGTTCTAAAGCGGCATTCTTTCAGAGTGGTGATCTCTGTTTGGACACCGCTCGATTGGACACGTATTATGCTAACCCAATTGTTGTGTGTTTTACAGAAATTCTAATTAATACTATAAAAATAGTATAAAAAATTCTGAGATATTTTTCTACAGATCAGAGACCAAAATTGAACATGAAATGTAATTGTGGAAGGAAAAAGGAAGAATTGCATAAGACAAGGATATCAATACGCTACGAAAATTCTATAGCCGTGCCATAAATTCTATCTCTAAGAAAAATGGATTTATTTCATAACTAAAATAAAAAGCAATGTGCTTTTCTCGTAAAAAAGCAATATCGCGTTTTCTCGATGTTCCAGAATGACGATGTTCCAGAACTTGCTTGAATTAATCTAATGAAATTACAATTTGTCTGCTTCGTGTTCGAATGATGAAACATACCTGGAGAAAAATTGTATTGCTTGCGTACTGGTACCGGCAAACGCCACTCTACCACCGGCTAAAAGGATTATGCGATGGAAACTACCGAAGATGGTGGAACTCGGTTGGTGTATAGTACATAAAACCGTGCGGTTCCTCAACGCAAAAGTTGTCATATGCGACACGAGAACGCCGGCCGAATGCGCGTCTTGTCCCGTTGTTGGCTCATCCAGGAACAGTATGTCAGGATCCGTCAGCAGCTGGAAGGAACAACGGGAATTTGCACAAGACGCTGACTAATTGTAAGATAACATACGGATACGCACCTCGGTAGCAAAAGCAAGCCTCTTCTTTTCTCCACCCGATAAAACCTTGCCGTCATCACCGCCGCCGATGCGAGTGTCGCGTCTCTCGATCAGACCGACATTTCTCAGCAAACAATCAATCTTGAGACGAATGTCCGCGGTGTGCATTCTCCCGTCTAATTTCATTCTAGCCTGATGAAGATTGTTAAAGATGTAACGCGCATAACTTGGATTCGGAAAACGGAGTCTTACCATAAACCAGATATGTTCGAGCACCGTCATTGTCTCGATGAACATGTCTTCCTGATGCATAAAGCCGCTGTGACGTCTCATGTACGAAGAGCTAGCTGATATGCCATTGACGCGAACATCTCCATGCACCACAATGCCGGCTGCCAATTCAAGTAAAAAGCTAAGCTTTGAACATCTCCTTTTTCTTCTTCTTTTGAAGATTTAATTATACAAAAATTCTACCTACATTCTGCGCGAAATGCCAATGCTGTCATCAGTGAGCTTTTTCCAGCACCGCTGGAAAATGAGGGTGGAGAAAAAATAGTTTCGATTACAAACAATATGCTAGTTGATCTATGCAATATAATTGATCGCGGATAATTTACCTGCCGCCTAAGATCGCGGTGAGTTCGCCAGGCCGAACGACACCTCGGACTAAAAAAGCGACTGACATTATCGTATTGTTTTATTTTACATTACACATGAAAAATAATATGTTTTAAATACCGTTATTGATGAGCTGCTTGCTTACGGTGCGTCGGTTCTGATCCATCGCGTAAACGGATAAGTTTTGCCAAGAAAGCATCGTGATATGTCGTGAAGCATCGAGCTTAACGTCCATGCTGTTTCAGACTTGATAAGAGAACACAAAAAAATAAAAACATAACTCTTTTCTCAATTTTCTTTTTTCAGAGAAAAATGGAAAAATTTTTAAAGCATTTTTATTTCATATAATAATTGTAAAATTTAAAAAATTATAGCGATTATAATTATTTTCGTCTTTTTTAGCAGACTTTTTTAGCTATAATTTTTTAAATTTTTAATATTTTTTTATGATTCTGCTTCAGACGATAGCCACACTCAAGTAGATTAAGAATTCTTTTGCTTTTTTGTTTCAGATAACTACAACGGCTGCAATCGTGGTCACCGTTTTTTCGCGGCGCTCCAAAAAAATGGCTGGCACGAGCTTTAATAACAGATATAAAATTTTGAAAAAATTTGTATGCACTCTTGAAATATAGTAAAATATGTGAGAAAAGTTGTTCATCAATTGACTTTGTCGTTTTCCTTTTAAAAATTATTTATTTTTAGGCCCTGTCACACTAGGGAAGCCTCTTAACGACAGTTTCGGTATCGTTGCGCAGGTTTTTTACCATGTATAATACCTGCGCAACGATACTGAAACTGTCGTTAAGGAGTTAGAAAATACCCGTACAGATTTCAAAACACTTGTCATATTTACAAAATATGTACGTAAACTCGGAACGACTGTTTGCGCAGATAACATGTAAAGCTGCGTCCGTAAATGCTCAGCAACAGATATTAAATTTGTTTCAAGCAACGGATTTATTCAATATTCGTCACATTTTTACAGCAAGGAGGTTTTATTGTGTAAACAGTTTACATATTGTATTTGTTTCCACTAATAATATATATATTATTACTACAAGAGCATCATATGAATTCTAGACGGAGCTACAATTTATGTTTACGCAATATGTTTGTAGCAACAATACATAAATTGTTTTTAGCAATATGTTTACATGATTTTTCACACTATTAATTTTGCTATAATTATATAATTGTTTTATATATCAACTCTGGTTGATTAAAAATTTATCAACACTTTATATCTTATTTGTATTATTTAGTATGCTATCTAGTTAAAGTCTATATATCTTTATGCAATAAATTATCATTTATGTAATTGTTTATTTGATAAACCATATTTCAACTGTGTCAAAAATATAAAATAGTACGAAATTATAAAAAATTTAGATTATGCATATATACGCATAAAAAATGTGACATTTGTTTATTGACCTAATAAGAATTTCAACTCAATCGTCATCTTTACTGATATTTTATTAGAAAGTTTAAAACTGTTAACAACGCCGAAATATAAAAATATGATGGAATCTTATTTTGAAGATAATATAAACTCTTAAGTTTTTAAGATATTTTTAATATAAACCTTAAAAACAGAGTTTATATAATAAGACTTTATAAAATGTTAAATTAAACTTGTCTATCATATCTGATGTTTAGAGTATTCAGACTATAATGCTCCTATTCTCGAGTAAAAGATGATACGTATAATACATACCGCCGTTATCTTGATAATGACAAGGACAAAATGGCCCGCCGATGCACAACAATCCGTAGCTTGGAAACTGCGCGTTTACGTGTCTGTAGAAGAATGAGAAACCGATAAGACGTGTCATGAAACGAAGATTGACACTGAAAGTACGAGTCTCGCTGCAGGCGTCACGTTTGCTTCTCGTCTCAACGCACGTAACTCTACCACCACTCGATACACCTGATGCACTTTGCCTGCTTGTTACCCTTCTTCGCCTTTCTTTGCAACCGAATATCAGACACGCACGCATTCACGCAGTGCAAGCAGCAATATTGGGGAGACTCGTCTAAGTTTATCGATCGCGAATAACTCGTGTATATATATACAAATGCATACATTTTATCTTTTCTCAGACGTAAAATATTAAATATTAATTAATGATGACAACACAAATTCTATCAGTGAATTAATCGAATTATTATTAGCTTTTAAAATGCGAAATTATTGCGATTGTTGCAGAGGGTGTGAAATTTCTCCAACGATATTGTGAGATTAAAGACGAACAATACCGTCACACAATACGTGTGCGTATAATGATCAAGCAAACACGGTAATCGACGCTCGCGAATCGATAGCTCATTCGCGGATGCATAAGTAAGCGCGTGGACACCCATCCGAGGCTTTCTTCAAAAGTACTCTCCGCACCGTAGTAAGCATTCGTGACTCAGAAGACTCGTGGTAATCGAAAACCGAAACCCTATATGTACGTCGAGCGAGACAGACGAGCGGCCAGTTCAGACCGATCTTATTTCGCTATTGGAATTATTGTACGTTTGCTTTTTAATGATCGACATTAGTAGCGGCAGTAACAGTAGCTCTTCCTCGCCCCTGTGTCTCATATCGCGTTGCCTGCTTCCAGGCGAATGACAATCCCGGCAAGATCTTCGATTCGCGGACCAATAGCGGTATCGCGAGATCAAGCGGATAGATATTTCTAGATCTCGGCGTTCTATTTTTTTTTCTCTTATATTATGACACACTCGAAGATCTCCCGAGATTGTTTCTCATATCCCTGTACCGTACATGCGGTCGCACGGTATATATTGCAACCGGTTTGTAATGATATCTAGATGCGAGCGAAAGAGTGGTCAGCTTCGATACAGGAAACACCGACACGTAGGTAGTATAGCTGCACCGCGCGTTGTTTCGTCGAGGCACATATTTTTCCAAGTTCCTATTACGTATAGCCTTTTTTGCGGTCACCACGCGTCAACATCGATATCCTTAACGACACTCACATGAATATATTTATTAATTATCACATTTGTAAATTTCCAAATTTGCCCATTATATAGTCTAAGAGCTGACGACACTTTTGGCCAAGTGATTTTGTATAAAATACAATTTTTCGTTTTAACCTGCGTGGACGACTCTCCTTTGATAATCCGAACACTTGGCTGGCCGCACCTGGGGAGTTTAGAAGTACGCAGGTGAGAAAAAAAAAACAGATTTTCAAGTTATAGTATAAGTCTTAATTTTTATCGGATATTGATAAATAATTGGTCACTCAGGAACATACAAATAAATTGCCAGTTCGATTGCTCGGGAGAATTAATCGCCAGGCTTAATTATAAATAATTAAAAATAATTATTTTCAAGTCATACTATAAGAAGCCATCGTCAGATCCCTCCGCCAGCTTTGTGCATTTTCAATAATTTTTTTAGAGATGTTGCCACCAAAATTTTTATTTGGCTTTTTTTGGGTGGTATGTGTTAACACTATACTTATTAGTAAAAAAAATCCAGCTTTTATAATATGACTTGAAAATAATTATTTTTAATTACTTATAATTAAGCCTGACGACTGATTCCCCCGAGCAATCGAACTGGTAATTTATTTGCATGCTCCTGAGTGATCAATTATCAATATCCGATAAAAATTAAGACTTATACTATAACTTGAAAATCCGTTTTTTTCTCACCTGCGTACTTCTAAACCCCCCAGGTACGATCAGCCAGGTGCTCGGATTATCGAAGGAGAGTCGTCCACGCAGGTTGGAAACGGAAAATTGTATTTTACAAAATCACTTGGCCAAAAGTGTCGTCAGCTCTCCGACTATTATGTAAATGTATACTATATAGTTGTAAAATTTGTTTATTGTAAATATTTTTTTGGCGTAGGCACTACTAAAGTCAATACACCAAGACAGACAATTTTATTAAAATTGTTTATTAAAAATACACGCAGCATTAGAGCAAACTACTGGTTCTTGTATATAGATGTCTTGACGTTTAAAATAATAAATGGATAAAGGATAAAGATGACGATGACAAGATTAGTGTGAACGGCAAGTTTTTGACAGTAGCGCGAGAAAAGCTAGAAAGCGGAATGCGACAATAAGCGCGAACAAGCAAAGGATGTCCATCCAGAAGTCCTCTTCTTTGAAATTGAAAGTTTGGAGAATCATGTGTCCCGATTTTGGACACGTCACGTTACTTCTGGTGCACGCTACAGAATCGATCTCTGACCATTGGTTGATCAAAAGTGCCTCGTTGCCGTAACGAAACCAAGATAAATATGAGAACCACACGAAGTAGGACGGTACAGACCTGTTACACGCGGAAAAATCAGTATTTCAGTTAGCATTTTAGTTATTATTGATCGAGACGATTTGAAATACTCACGCTGTATTTAGAAAGAAGCCACCGAAAAGCAAGAACGGTATTATGACTGGTGGACCGACGGAGAGGGCCATAGATACGCTGTTGCTGATACAAGATATCAAATAGCCTGTAAAAGGAAAGACAGCGATTATTTAAAAAAAAAAATTAATTACAAACGACGCGCGCGATGCGTATGTTTCGTAAGCTCTCGATTACCAAATGAAGTCGACACGTTGGCTACGAGAGCTACTACAGCAGTAGCGATAAAGAAGTGCTTTACATCTGGATAGAGGCCGATCATAGGATAAACGACAGCGGTGAAGATCAGCGGTATTGCTAAGAATATCGGTGCTTCCGCTAGAGTCTTGCAGATGAAGTAGACGTCGGTGCGATACATACCATTTTTGTGCTCGCGAAGAAATATCGGCAATTCGGCGCAGAACACCTGTACACAGCACGGATATAGTTTAGCTTTGTTGAACGTTCTCTCATGCTGTTTCTGATAATTATCGGAACCAAAATTGCAAGTGTAACTCGATTGTTTATATGTTTTACGTCTTAAATTCTCACGTTAATGACTGCAAAGACATTCTGAAAAGTCATATTGGTGAGGAAGATGAATAGGGCACCGTTGATGTTCATCACGCCATCCTGATCTATTTGCTGGCCGAAGTAAATAACACCGATCAGCAGCGAGACCATCTACAACAGAAAATTCGAGTTTGTTCTTTCATAACTGTTCTTTGCCTGTTTTTATGCGTCCTTGCCAATGACATGATCATTCGTGAACGCGAATAAGCGTCAAAAAGGGGGTTAAAATAAAAATTATTTCATTCATACATCACTAAGGCGATGAATTGTACATAATTACGTATTCATGTAGATTCACGCGATATTATTAGGCAACTAAGATTTAGTTTTGACCGTAAATGGCCTTTTCTTTAGATTGATAAATTATATTTTATTAATCACGAGCAGACTGTATTTTAATCTTCTCTTTCGTTTTGTAACTAGATTAATAATGTTGGAGGGGAAACATACGATCGTTTGTAACAGGCGAACTTTAATGAGGATCGGTTCCTTAATCACTGACAGCCAGGATCGCCACAGAACCGCGCGAAATTGTTCGCACCAACTCGCTTTGTAAACCGATTGGCCGAAATTCTTGGAGTATTTGAACCGTTTGAGGGTATCCTCGAATTCGCCGTGGACGGCTTCGACCTTTAGGGCGATACTCGCACCGTATTCGCTTCTCCGGAAAGTATCGCACGTCGTTTCGATGGCGTGTCTACAAGTTAACTCGCGTCCCGGCACCACGGCCAACACTTGCACGAAGAAATCAGCAGGGTTGTAATTGCTGGGACAGGCGGCACCGAGCCTGTGAAACAAAATGTAAATTTAAAATGGTTTAGAAATAAAGCTTTTTAATAAGTGAACTTACGTCTTGAAGAAAGTGCAAGCCTGCGCGGCTGTACCCATGAAGGCGACTCTTCCCTCGGCCATCAACAGAATCTTGTCGAACATAGCGAACAGCTCCGAAGAGGGCTGATGTAAAGTCGCAACGATTGTTTTACCACGTGCTGTTAAATCGTTTATTTATTAATTCTTTTTAAACACTGAATGCAGAATATAGCTTTACTCGTAGAATAAAAATCTTGTATCGGCTCAAACTCACCCGCCAATGCTTTCAGAATGGAGACAACCTGATGAGCCATGAAGGAATCCAAGCCCGACGTCGGCTCGTCGCAGAACATCAACGGAGGATCGGTTAATACCTCGGAAGCGAAGGACAACCTCTTCATCTCGCCTCCTGAAAGGCCCTTCACCCTGCCGTGTATCCCAATCACAGTGTTTCGACATTTCGAAAGAGCGAGCTGCTTTCAAAAAAGATGTCATTAAATGTATACATCCTGTGAGTGGATAAAATAAAACTGAAGCTGAAGTTTAACAGTTTAACCATTTAATAATAAGAGCAATTAGCAAGCGAAAGATCTTCTGCTAGTTCTAGTATTTTCTCACTTGCATTTTGCATGTAATAATTAAAGATATCTCCTGATACGTTCAACAACATGATCGAACTACCTCATCAATGACCTCGCTAACTCGCTTAATTCTCTGGTTACGAGGGATTTGCCGATCCATCCGCACTGCCGCCTGGAACATTAAATGTTCCATAACGGTCAGCGTGCCAACAAACAGATCGTCTTGTTGAACATAGGCCATCCTCGACGTAAGGATACCCGGCGATATTCTTTGGCCGTTGGCAGCCATCAAACCGGACGCAGATAGTCCGCGTGTTGAACGGAACGTCAATGCGTTCAACAAAGTTGTCTTGCCTGCGCCTGACGCACCCATGATTACGAGCAGCTCGCCAGGATAAGCCACTCCACATACTAGAATAATTTATTTCGAAATACAGTGAAAACTAAAACGTCGCAAATACATAAAAGATAAGCGAAAAATTTCGTTTCTTTTTTTTTACCATCTTTTAATATGTGTTTCTGCGCGACGGATTTTCTAGTCCTAAACATCAACCGATCCCAAATTCTGTCATTTTTCACACTATAATACACGTTTACGTCGCTCCACGTGTACGTAATATTGTTGCCAAAATTTTCGTTGTTGAAATCTACGGTTGTCGAAACGTTCGAAATCGATTTAAGATTAAAGGAGGTCTCCGCCGTGATTCCGCCGTGCAACGTATCTCTTTCATTACCTTCCTACAACGATTATAAACGTTTTTAATTTTATTTCAGTGTAGATATTAATGTATTGAAACAGGTACATCTTTACTAGTGTTTTTTCCATTGTATGTAAAGTATTTGGAAGTTATCGAATATTTTTTTAACTCCTTGACTGTCAACGACGAAAATATCCACAAAGATAAAACTGATCAAAAGTCCTCTCATGATGGGAATATCCGCACATTAAAAAAAAATACTTGAGTGGCGGAACAATTAGAAGGGGATACTATATTTTTATGTTTATGGGGTCGCTTAATTCAAATCTAAAATCACAATTACAAAATTAAAAATAGCGGATCTAATATGGCGAACCAAAAATACAAAAAATTGTTTGATTAAAAATTTAAATTTAAAAGTTTTTGAAACCGCTAATTTCAAATTTAAAATAAAAATTCAAGAATTCAAAATGGCAAATTCAATATAATGGGCACTACGGTCTTGATAGAGACTAACTCAAAATATAGTTCAATTTGCATAAAAAATTTTGAAGGGTTTTTGAAGCCGCTGATTCCGTTTTGAAAATTGAAATTTGTTATTTCAATTAAATTACAGATTCAATATGACGGTCAACAAATTTAAAATATCGTTCGGTTTATATAAAAATTTATTTATAAGAATTTTTATAAAAATATTTACGTTTAAAATATAAATCTAATTTTTTAAAATCAAATCTAAATTTTAATAGAAATTTAGATTTAGCGACTCAAAAAAAATTCCCAGAAAGTACCTTTTCATAGTTTTATTAAATTTGTCAAGAGCATTTTTGGCCCACAAGCATTTTTTCCCCTAATAGTCAAAGATTTGAGTTCAGTATAATTTCTCTTTAGTTAATTTCGAAACGCTTTTTTCTTTATAAAAATATTGGAAAACCTATCATTTATTGCAATCTTTCCACTTCCAATCTCTAACACTATTAAAAACTAATTTATCAAAACGCTCATTACTTTCAATTGTTGATTATTCGAACCTTGGTATTTAATAATTAAAAAAAAAAGTACTCCTATATAATTATACACTATACTACACTATACAAATAATAATCGATCAGAGAATCGAAGCCATAGACATGAATATCGTCTGCGCTGAGTTTAAGGTAACTTTCAGGGATGTATGAGAATAAAATATTTACGTAAGGTAAGATAAAAGAAAACGTGCGATAATGCGTTCCAATTAAAAATTATTTTTATCACAGGATATTGCTGCATCAACTCGGATTCGTGTTCGTTCATACACTGCATTGGGAGGACACGATAATTATATCACATGACATAAATATCTTGCTTGTTGTACTTACGAAAGAAATTGTATGATAAGTGACTCTTTGAGTCTTACTGACGGAAGATACCGACGTCGTAGCTATCAACGGCTCCGTTTCCTCGGTAGCCGTCATTTTCTTATACTTCCGCTGCTCGTCTTTCCAACGCATCGACAGGTACACTGATTAAAATACGGCGGACTCTAATCTAATAATGAGTAGAATGCTTTTCCGCAATAATTCGCATAATGATTCGCATAATCTTCCAAAACGGTTACAATTAAAGAAAATTCAGACTTCAGAGTTGGTTTTATTTACAACAGACACTGATCAATACAGAAAATTTATCCACGTTTTGTATAAAATTACATGTTCTGTTACTGTTACGAGACGATAGAAGAAAAATTGCCGATTGCAAGTGATTCTTGCCCGAGATGGTGTAACGGAAAATACGCTCGACGAACGGAGCCGGCTTCTTTTCCTCCGGATTGCGGTATCGCGGATGTGTGTACACCTGCGTATGACGTGAAAGAACATGCGTATATACGCGTGTAGAGAGCGTGGTTGAAAGAACGTATGCCCCTCTCCATCAGTTCCCGTATTGCATATTTACAGCCCTATCTACGGCTCTGATAGGGCCGCCGCGCAAATCCGTCTACAAAGAAATCAAAAGCAGCACTGAGAAATAAAATTCAGAGACTTGAAGATGTACATACGTGTATTATATCTATAATGTTATGTGTATAAAGTTTTCGTTTTCTCTCGTTTATCTCTCGACAATTTAAATATAATGCGCTAGTAAGATGATGATGATATGGATATGTGCAGCATTGACGCAGTCTGCAACATTATTTTTTTCTTTCTAGTGTATTAGAGATCATTATCTTATCTTACATTGTGAGGATCGCGCGTGCGGTCGTGCGTTTTAGAGCCGTTTTAGAAAGCATAGCGGTCTATTACGTAGGACAGCGCTGAAGTATGAGTGGCCCTATTGATTTAACTATCGCTTAATATGTGGATAATAATAATAATAATAATATATTGCGGTATATTTATCAAAATATATATCTCTCGTAGTGGCTTTTTTTCATTATTTTCACGTATATATATTTCAAACACGACATCACGCGTGATAGTAATTAAGAAATTTTACTAGTTTTACCAGCACGAAACGTATCGCTATTTTTTTTTCGTTAAACGAGATACAAGTTTTTAAATATAAACGTAAGAAAACCACGGGAAAAAAATATCCTCGGTCGACGGAGCGTATTTACACGGATCGGCAATTAATTCGCAGGTCATTCGCGCAATCATATTTAATGGAAATATTCGATTATTTCAATTAAAATCGTCCCAGGCCGATCACTTGGTCATGATACTTTTACTGTTACGGGCAATTTCACAAAATAGATATTGCTTTGGATTATCACACTGTCGTTATCAATGGTACGTAATAAATCATATCATCCGTTATCTGAACGATCATCAAATCTTTTCGCTTTTTCGAATTAAACAACGGCGCATGTCTTTTCTTGTTACGTTTGTGATCAATCAAATACAGCAGATACCTAGCAGTTTATTGTTGCAAGTAATATTCGCATGTATATCATACATATACCATCACAGGCTTTCGGCGTATCGTGACAAACAATTTTAGAATAATATCTAACTTAACGAGGTTTAATTGACTAATAAAATGAAAATAGTTTTACAAGATTAACTTTAACAATTTAGAATCCATAGAATTCCATCTTAAATTGAGTTTCAATCAAGGAGAACTTAAAAGAATTTTGTTCAATTGATATGTACCGTACGTCCGTGATTTAAAAAAGTATCATATTGAACGTAGGTACCGACTGCTTGTGCTGCACAAAGTAGAGCTCTAAACTGTACAAATGTATCAGATTCTCGAGAAATCATTCTACTAAGTCACCTCTCGATAGTACAAGTCCTATCACGTTGACACTAGCAGCAACGATCGCCTTATACAGTCTCAAATACTGATTATAGTCGTCGATTTCCAATCTTGACGACAAGGCCTGTCAAAAGCGACAGCTTTATTTCTTTTTTTTCCAGTCTTAGACAAGCGGCCAAACGTGACACGCTTGCCAAGTATGTCAGCGTACATCTTAACATTACAATTTGTAACGCGACGTAAAGTCCGATGACGTCATGACAGCATTCTTGGATGCGTAGGATCTCTCACGCTATCGGCGATTGTTGCTATTCATGTAGTCTTATTGTTCTTGGACATGTTATGCGACGCCCAATTCAACGACGTTTTCCACGAGTTACAGAGGGCCTCATCAAATTTGCTTCTAAAATGTTTTTGTGCCTCACTTTCGGACATTTCTAGGACCTATGAACACATTTAAATGCATTATTTGAATGTACCCATTTATAATAATATATATCGTCTTAATTGTATATTAATGCATCTGAATGTCACTGTACCAAGGTATCTCTAAGATAATTCAGATCTTTTTCCGACGAGAGTTCAGGCAGCCCGGTGGATATCATCATAGCGAATAGAGACAATATAAGTCCTCCGTGCTGGCGTAGAACCAAAAAGGCTTGCTCGCAATGATTCTGAAATCTTTGAAACTCGGCAGCGTGCCCTTTCTTCGTTTGACCCTTATTTATGACGTGTACGAAGTCATTGGTCAGAACGAAGGGTACTCGTTCGCGTCTGAATCCAAATTTCTCCTTAAAGTGACCCAAAATGTGACCAAAATCGACGTGAAACAGTTGTCCAGTCTTTTTAACCATTATATTGTCAGAATGTCTATCGGCTATCCCAAGAACGTACGTCGCCACACAGTAACCTGCACAACTCAAAGTAAATTCCTCGATTGCTTTATTCAACGCCGCTTCCGTGTGGTTATGATCCTTTAGCCAAGCTAATAAGGAACCTCTCCTGTAAATATAGACAAAGAAGTTGTAAAGAAGTCTCACCGACACGTATTTGTCAAATTATATCGATATTTCGTAACGCGTTATTTACCTGAAGGCCGCCGTTGCGGAAAACGTGCCCTTTTCCTTCTGAATGTTTGCGATTGTTTCCGCATTTAGCACCACCTCTATCATCCCGACTCTGTTCTCCGTAGATATGCAACCGTATGGATTCATACGTAAATCCAAACCTTCCTTCTTCCAGATCTTATCCATAATACGTAGCATCTGAAGCGTCAACATGTCTTGTCTTAAGTCGTCTCCGTGTTTGAGGATTAAGTAAACATCTTCGCCAAAAGGATCACTATTCTCGAAAACCAGCCAGAGCGGACGCATCTTACTGTCCATTACACGGCATTTCTCAATTCTAAAAGAATAGAAGATATAAGAAATGTGTGAAAAATAACATGTTTAACGAGTGAGAATAGTAAGCACTTGATGTGATTCCATCTAAAACTCGGATCGAGAGGATTAAGAACGTCGGATATCGCCTCCTGGCAATGCGCTTCCTGGATAATGTCCAGAAAGCCCTGAAGAGCCGCCTTGCGATCCTTCTTTTGCTTCACTTGTTGCGAAACACTCCTTAATTTTTCCAAACATTTCATCTGCTTAAATAATGATAGCATATGCTGTTGGCTTCCTCTGCAATATGCTTCCAGTATGAGACCAAACCGAACGGATACAGCGCCAACCTGCATTTCTGACCTAATACAATTTTCGAAAAACAAATAATGAGTAAATCGTAAATTATAAAATATAAGGAATAACACGAGAGACTCCATTGTAAATTATAATAAATTGGCACAAACAATATCACGTAAAAAATGTCACTGACCTGAGATGCCAAAATAAAAAATGACCTATCCTCTGATTATTAAGTGCCCGCTTTAAGAGAAACTCTGTCAAAGGACACGCCAAATAATTTTCATGTTTTAAAGCTTGAGCCAGCTGCAATAAGTAAAGACTGAGATCGTCGTCGGTAACGTCTCTTAAACAGCGAACGGCGAAATTTCTGACGTTTTGATCAGCATAAGCGTAGTCTAACAACTCCAACGCTTTCTCTACTGGCAGTTTTGGCCATAGTTGTACGAGCGCCGTGGCCTCCGCAACTTCTCTATAAGTGTTTACAAATTTTTGTTTTGTCATCTTGTTAGCTTTATACAAATAATCAATCAATTAATTTCTTACCTATGATCGTTCCATTCGACACATTGTAATAGTTTAGCCAAAAGTGTCGGAATTTCGCGAAGACAATGATGCCTCAACGCCCACATCGTCTTCTTCTCTTGTTCATGTAATTCGTGCAGCGGATCCCTATCTGCTAGTAATCTCAATTGTTCCAATTGTTGACTAACATCAGACTCCTGATTTAATTCGTCTTTACCCAAGCGCTCATTAGATTGTTCTCGCAATGATTCGGCATATTCCACCATTTTTTCTGGCGTAGGATAGAGGACGCATTGATCTTTTCCATAACTAGAAAATAATAAGCACATATAATGCATAACGTAATGTACAGATACATTACATCACTTTCTCAACTAGAAAATAAATAATTACTTTGGAAATGTTAACATGAGAGCAGCTGCCCTGTCTATGTGTGGATTGGAGACTACTGTTCCAAGAGGATGAAGCAAATCATCATTTTGTATATCCTCCGCATATGTCCATGTGTATAATGTCATAGCACCCGTTTTTAATTGGGACTTGAAGTCATATATCGTCGTATTCGCCCAACATAAAGGATTTATGAAGAACTCTTGCTTTGAATCCCTAATCAGTTTCCTGCTTTTTAAACCCTTCGCAGTTTTACTGATTTCGTATAATACAAAGCACAGTCGTGCCATCCGTGGTATATCCCTGACTTTAATGTCGAATTTGAGAGTTTCTTCCCATTCACAACTACCATCGGAACTTACAATAATTTCTTTGGTTTTCTGACTTTCGCAAAGAGATTTTCCACCGTGAAAAAGGCCAGCTTGCAGTCCAATCTGTATATACAAAAGAAACAGAAATTAGACAAATTTCAAGTAATCTTATTTCAAAGTGTCGTATTTCAAAGAAACACTGAAGCATACCTCTACAGTACGGTGCGCGGCATCACAGTTAAGTCGAGAAATTCCATTCACGGTGAAAATAAAAGGTTCTTCAATTTTCCACACCGAGATATGCTTGCCCTTTTTACGTAACGTTAACGTAGAGGACGATGGTTTCGTACGTTGCAATGTATCCACGTCCGGATTGTCGAAAGCGTTATCTTGGTCCACAGGTACACTCTGTTTGCTGAGCGTAACCAGCGTAGGCATGATATCTTTCGCTAAGCAATCTTGAATATAGCCAAATTGTATGAGCGGAATATTATCGCCGATCAAATACTCTTCCTGCCCGCAAACTTTAAGCGTAAAGTCGCTTGGTAGTTCGCCGCGAGTCTTCAGAGTATTTGCCCTTTTGTTCAGGATTGCTTCGAGCAGTTCAGGAGGCGTAGTAGTATGCGCTATTTGAAAAGTAAACGATGCCTGCAACAATGTCAATTTAAATGAGAATTTGTCCAAACGGTAGTTCCAAATTCCAGATGAAATAATTTTGCCTTACCTCCGAATTTTCGAATTTAGTAACTAAAACGATATTTCCGTCCTTCAAACGGGTCTCAATATTCTTAGGTACAGTAGGCGTCGGCGCTATTCTCGAAGGAAACTGATAACGCACTTTTTCCATCCAGCATCTCTTCTGTCTACTTAACGCCACGTCGTCCCCCAAGAGCCGCATCTTCCATCTGAAGTCGTTGACCTCGGAATTTTTCAAGGCGGCAAACTCGTGCAGTCCTTTACCGATCAGGACACCAATTTGCGAGTCTAAGTTCCTATCACTTTTTATACCCTCACGTTCTATAACTTTTAATACCGAACAAAAGGGTTTTATATCACAGAGACGTCTTGTTTCATCCCGCAATTCTTCTATCTCTGCATTCGAGTTAATACACGAAAATACATATGACGGCGCGTCTTTCAATGTTCCGTGAAGAGGATACTTGCTAGCCTCGTCCCACAGATCCTGTCAAGTATCAGTCAGTTTATATTTCTGTATGTTTATGTAGCAACCCTTTAACTGTGTGACTTGGAATACTTCATACGCATTGACCTATGAATATTTATTTGTGCTCACAATGTAAAATATGTATGTATCTATTAAATAGTTGCAAATTTTAATAAACATACAATAAAATAAACTCTATATCAATGTTTTTATTAGAACAACGTATGTGTCCCTGAATATATCTATTATTGTTAAGTTACTGTAAAATAAATACATTTCTGTTTTTATACTATACAATAGCGAATTAGTGTGCTTGCACTAGCGTACACTGAATGTGTATTAAGACTTGTTCTTAGTCAATTCTTATATTTATAGATCATCTTAAATACTTTCTGAAATGCTTCTTAGCCAGTAAAATGATCTATGAAGCATCCATACAGATTGTTTAATTGGCTAAAAAGTTTTTAAATGTGTATTTAAGCAATGTTAAATATAAGAACAGATTATAAACAAGCTTGGTGCGCACTAGTGCAAGCGCTCGAATTTGCTAAGGCTGCGTTCTGATATTCACTGTCAGTACCGAAAATCTAATAGTGTGTCATATATGTGACATAAAATATAGATTTTTAGTGACAGTAAATATCAGAATGCAGCCTAAGATGCAAAATGTAACCTTTTATTTTTTTTCATTCAAGCACACATTTCTGCCATGTGGTGGCAATCACATGCAAATATGCATTCCGCTGGCACAGTCAAAAGGTTAAAAGGGAAAGAGAAAGAATGGTTGTTTTTTTCCCCACAGAGATACATTGTATGCGCAATGTATACTCACCTCCTTGATCTGATCTAAGGTAATATTGCGATTGATCTCAAACGGTATGACAACACCGTTTGGCATCAGGCACGTGAGTTCCACCACT